TACAAGATTTACATTAACAAATACTAAGTTATTAATTAGGTAGAGGAGAACCCCCTTTTAAAATCGCTTCAGTTAGTTTTCACATGAACCCGTCACACCTTTTAAAAATTCAATGTTACAATACTTCCCCGAACCAACCGTCAGTTAAATAGGAAAAAACCCCCAAAACAAACAGATAGACCGCTGAACCATTCAAGCGCCAAGGGTCAAAAGAGTTGAGCAAAGACTAGCCTAATATGATGACGGGCAGCGATAATGATCCATTGGTGGAGGACGGTGGACTAAACGCCACCAAGCATCGACTGACCATTTGGCACAAGGTAATCGGGAGAGATCCTAAGATCAGGAATTACAGTACTATATCGTAAACATAACTAGATCGTCTTCTTTATGCTGGGACTAATCTCGGCGCTGACCATATGCGTTCTGATCCATTTGTCGAACCGATTGGCCTCCGATGCCGAGAAAAAGGCTTTGCTGCACTTCCGCGAGCTCTCATCCGGTCGAAATAACCACCGATTTGGCCACTAGATCTTGTTTATCCACCATATACCACTCTATATTTTTTGTGTGTGTTTGCTTTTCACTGTTTTATTTTTTTGGTTTGTTTGTTTGCAAATTGCTTAAATAAAGTGCTAATTGATTGATGCGGAATAAGTTATGGGGCAGCTGTCGGCTAGAGTGCAAATTAAACAACAAGCAATTAGCTGAAGATCAGGAAAAGCTTTGAATAAACTTCATTGAGAGGGGTCAGGCTGAGGGGTTATTATTATCCAACACCCGTATCGAGTGGGCTTACGCGGCGTATGAGTGATGCAGCAGAACTCTACGTCTCGAGAATGACATTCTACACATATCGTTTTTTTTTTACTTGCTTTAAAAACTTCTTAATTTTGGTGTTTTTTAGGTTACCATTACCATAGAATCACCGGAAACAATAAAACCACCCAAAAAGTCCAACTTGCGGCGCAGTCTTCAATGGATCTTAGCCCCTGTATTAAGTGCTGTCACAGGCCTGATCCTTTATTACCAAGGTCCTTGGTATGGATTGGCCACCCTATATGCCAGCTTGATAACCACACTGCTGGTGCGACCAGGATGGCGATGGTTCTACATAGCTGCGGTCACCACTCCCCGCGATACTGTGTAAGCTTATAAATATTATTTTAAACCTAAATAAAAAAAAAATTATAATAAATGTTATTGAAGAAAATAAATATAGCAGATATTAATAATAAATAGGTATTATTGAAGAAAATATTAATAATATATATTAATTATAACTATTATTGAAGAAAATATATATAATAGCTATAAATTATAAATGTTGTTGAAGAAAATAGATATAATAGATATTAATAATAAATATTATTGAAGAAAAAAGATATAATAGATATTAATACTTCCGAAAATTACCAGTGAAATACCTTTTTTCGTCCTATATTTTAATAATCATTATTAACTGTTGGTTTATATGCAATATACATATATTAACATCCAATTTTTAAAAATTGTCCATAATATATTGCTTTTTTCAATAACTCAATCACAATCAATCAAAATATCAAGAAAAACTGTTGTTTATATTCTAATCATTATCATATTTTAATTAAATATTATATTATACATTTCAAAGGGCTCTCTTCGCCTACATCCGCGTGCTGATGTTCATCAAGCGGCAGGAGCGCAAGAACCTGAACATTGGAGACATCTTCGAGGCGAATGTAGCTCGGCAGCCGGACAAGTTGGCCATTGTCAGTGAGTCGCAGCAGTGGACCTTCCGCCAGGTGAACGAACACTCGAACCGCGTTGCCAACGTGTTTCACAGTCATGGCTACAAGAAGGGCGATGTGGTGGGTCTGTTGCTGGAAAATCGTCCGGAATTTGTTGCCACCTGGCTGGGACTGTCCAAGATCGGGGTGATCACCCCACTGATCAACACAAATCTCCGAGGAGCCTCGCTGCAGCACAGCATTACGGTGGGTCAGTGCACGGCTCTCATTTACGGCGCCAGTTTTCGATCTGCGGTGATGGATATAGCCAAGGATCTGCCGGCCCATGTGGGTCTGTATCAGTTCAACGACGAGGCCACGCAGGAAATAGTGGCTTCCGAGGGTCTCAGCCAGGGATTGGCCCAGCAGTTGAATGGTCTCCTGGAGACGGCGGCCAAGGACAAAGTGGCCGCTGGTGCTTCGCGAGCGGATCATCACGATAAGCTGGTCTACATCTACACTTCGGGAACCACGGGATTGCCAAAGGCAGCTGTTATCACGCATTCGCGGTAAAGTTTTTCTCTAGCTTTTGCACAGAAAAAAAATGTCGATATGAAATAAGGTCAATTCTACCTTATTTCATATCAATTTCATATTAAAATGTCAAATTTATGATTCAAACATATCAAGATGATATTTTGTCATATCAGATAAAATACCAAATGTAGTATTTTTGGAGAAATAATGTAAAATAAGATAAACTTGATCTTTTAACAAGAAAGGAAGCTAACTTCGGCCAGCCGAAGCTTATATACCCTTGCAGATAAAGTAATGCTTACTCGGTGCAGTTCCAGGGATTCCAGATTCAGCGTATCTATTTTAATTTTGTTTATACATAAGTAGTCAAGAATCAAAACGCCTACTTCCTACAAAGCTACAATGAATTTTCTTATATTTGTTTGAATATTCCTATGGAAGCCTTAAAAAAATAGTGGTCCGATCCGGCTCGCTCCGACATATGTACTACCTGCAATAGAAAGAAGACTTTCGGGAAAGTTTCATCGCGATAGCTTTAAAACTGAGAGACTAGTTCGCATAGAAACGGATAGACGGACAGACGGACATGGCTAGATAGACTCGGCTATTGGTCCTGATCAAGAATATATATACTTTATGTGGTCGGAAACGTCTCCTTCACTGCGTTGCAAACATCTGACTGAAATTATAAAACCCTCTACAAGGGTATAAAAATATAAAATTGACCAGCGCATATCAATCTGATCTTTTGTCAATTTTTTTCCTCCAAATCTTCTTTGTAACTTTAAGGTACTTCTTCATCGCCGCGGGCATCCACTACACTCTGGGTTTCAAGGAGCAGGACGTGTTCTATACACCTTTACCCCTTTATCACACTGCTGGCGGAGTGATGAGCATGGGTCAGGCCCTGCTCTTTGGTTCCACGGTGGTCATCAGGAAGAAATTCAGTGCCTCGGGCTATTTTTCGGACTGCTCACGCTTCCAGTGCACGGTAATGCAGCTTTTTTGGTAGCCAAAATATTTTTAAAACTTTTTCTTATATTTCCCCAAGGTCGGTCAATATATTGGTGAGATGGCTCGCTACATCCTGGCCACTCCTCCGGCTCCTCACGATCGAAAGCACCAGGTGCGCATGGTCTTTGGCAATGGACTGAGACCACAGATTTGGCCGCAGTTCGTGGAACGCTTTGGGATCGCCAAAGTGGGTGAATTCTACGGAGCCACCGAGGGCAATGCGAATATCATGAACAACGACAGCACCGTGGGAGCCATTGGCTTCGTTTCCCGGATCCTGCCGCAGATCTATCCGATATCGATCATAAAGGCAGATCCTCACACGGGCGAACCTTTGAGGAACAGCAAAGGACTCTGCGAGAGATGCGAAGCCGATGAGCCGGGCGTATTTATAGGCAAGATTGTGAGGGGCAATCCGTGCCGGGAGTTCCTGGGCTACGTTGACCAGAAGGCCTCCTCCAAGAAGGTGGTCCACGATGTCTTTTCCAAGGGCGACATGGCCTTCATTTCGGGCGATCTGCTGGTGGCCGACGAGCGGGGCTATCTGTACTTCAGGGATCGCACCGGCGACACCTTCCGCTGGAAGGGCGAGAATGTGTCCACCAGCGAGGTGGAGGCGCAGCTCAGCAATCTGGCTGGCTACAAGGATGTGATTGTGTACGGAGTGGCAGTACCCCAGACGGAGGGAAGAGCCGGAATGGCGGCCATTTACGATCCTGCGCGGGAGGTGAACGTCAGTCAGCTGGGCGTGGAACTGGCCAAATCCCTGCCCAATTACGCGCGGCCGCAGTTCCTGAGATTCCTGCGAAGAATCGACCTAACCGGCACCTTCAAGCTGCGCAAAGTGGAGCTCCAGCAGCAGGGCTTCAATCCGGAGGTCATCGAGGATGAGCTCTTCTACGCCCAACCGGATGGCGTCTATGCGCCGCTCACCTTGTCTGTATACGAAAGAATACTAAGGAACGAGCTTCGCTTCTAGGAGCGCCAGACTTTTCTTTTTTGGGAAAAAAAGAAGGGAAGTCAAGACTGTGCCTAGTATGTTAGTAATCCGGATTTCGAATGGATCCTAACCGACATTAAACTATTTTTAGTTTTGGTAATGTGGTTTACCAATAAATAACATATAAAAAGGATATTTACTTTAGCAAGAGCATTTTCTTTAAACTTTCTGACTCCTCTTAATTCCTAGATAATTGTCATATCATATTGTTTTCATTTTGTAGGTTTATCGATGATCATGTTTGTGTGTAAATACATTAAAAGCTTGGAAAAACAATGAAATACATTTATATCAATTATTTTATGAATGATTTTAATGGGATAACAAGATTTCTATTACTTTAAGATTCTTTATTGTGCTGGCTTTCAAAAATCAACATTTATAAAACTATCAAAATAGCTGAGACATTTTAAAAATGAATTGTTTTAAATGTTGTTTTAAATTATAATAATGGGATCACATATTTATGAATATTTTCAGAAAGAACTATACTCTTTTTAAAATTAGATCATCGAATTTGATTAGTTTTGTAATTAGTTTATTGTGCTATTATTAAATAATTTTTTTAAAAGGAAACTTACAATTGAAAGAGCATCATTAGCCACTTTTCGATAAAGAGAAGCGGTTAGAAAATCTATTATACCGGATTTCAATTCCAATTCCAATCATAAGGTATTATCTTTGATCTTTAAGGATCTTAAAACTTTAAACCCTCTTTTAACTTCAAAAGGATTTGAAAACCGGGCCGTATAAAATACTTTCAGCAGTCTTTGGAGCGTTCTCCGCTCAATCCTTCGGCGGCACATCCTTGTTGAGCTCGGCCCGCTTCCGCTGCTCCATGCGCTCCTCCACCTGGTCCAGCCGGTCGCTCATCGCATCCAGGGAGCTGAGCAGCCCCGCCTGGATCTCGCCGTAGCGCTTCATGGCCAGGACGAGGCTCTCCTCGATGAGCTCGCTCTGCTGGGCGTACTCCCCGTTGTTCTGGGTGATGCCCTTCAGCTGCTCCAGGCACTCGGCGGGAATGCTGCGAAAGTACTCCGCCCCGAGAGCGGGTTCCAGCTGCCTGATCCTCTCCAGCTGCTCGGCCTGGGTGTGCAGTTCGGGCGCCACGGCATGCAGGTACACCTCCTTGGCGCGCACCTCCTGCTGCTCCTCGAGGAAGTTGGGATCGAGGTACTTCTCCAGTTCGCCGGATCGCTTGACGCACTGCTGCAGTGGAGCACTGCCCGTGGTGGCTTCGCCCAGGAGGGCGTGTGCCGAGCACAGGGCGTCGACCACGCCCTCGCCCGCCTCCGCCTCCTGCACGGGACCCAGGACTCGCGTCAGGGCGTCGATGCGCTTCTCCAGAATATCCAGGGCCTCCATTTTCGCCGGATTTCTCTTTATTTTGTTTGGTTCGCTGCGGGAATGATGTCAGTCTGGGAGATGGGAGTTTATTAATAAGATATATCGATAGTTTTTTATACTGTTTATTATTTATATTTTTTTTTATATTAAGTGGATAAATATTGCACATAATAATCATTATCAAAGAAATCAATAATTCAATTTACAATATTTCGTATTTTTTTGCTACTAAATAAATCAGTTGTTTTAATATACATTCGATCTATCACCGATACTTTATTTTTCAAATATTTTCTCATCTCATCTGATGTTTATTAATAGGGTGGCAACGCTGAATGTGTTGAACTGTAGATAAGGTGAGTGTACTAGCTAAGTTGGGAGTATGTACTCGCTAAACATCTGGTGAATATGATATTAACCCTTATGTGATTTCTTAAACTCTTTTCAAATATTTTTAAATACAAAAAACCGATTTTTTTAAAAACTCTTACATTCTTCACAAATTTCTTAAAGCTCTTTAAGCGGCTTTTAAATACCATTTTTTAGGCACCCCTTTCAATAAATAAAAGTCAAATTCATAATTAACCATATATTTACTTAGTTTTCTCTAAACTAAATTAAATATCTTCATGACTTAACAGTTTAAAAATCTTTTGTTACAGCTTAAAATTCTCGAGGGACAGTCGCTCGGCGTCCTTGTTGATCTGCGCCAGGCTGTCCTCGGAGATGATTGGCACCACATCGGCCTCCGGATCGTCGCCTACGGAATCGTCGAGCACGCACAACAGCCCGTCGTTCTCCATGTAGGGAAAGAAGAACTCCGGCTTGTCCCAGTTCACCTTCTCCCCGATGCCGCAGTGCTGCTCCTGGGCCATGTGCTCCACCAGCAGCGCCTGCTCATCGAACTGCAGGTCGCAGGTCACGCAACGCAGCAGGCACATCTGGCGGCGCAGGTAGTTGACCACTTTCACCCGCTGGTAGAAGTTTAAAGGGCCGGTCGCCTTGTCGAAATCCAACCGGTGGCCAGCCACCATGTGTTCTTTAAGCGCAGTAAAGCTGTCGCCTATGTAGGAGCAGTAAAGACACTTGATTCCACTCGGTTCTCCATCTGCCGCCCAATCGGACCAGTCCGAATCATGCTCGCCATCCGAATCCGGGCGGGCAAAGTGCTTATCGAAGTCCACACTGCCGGTTTCAAGATCCGCCACCGTGGAAACGGATGCAGTCTCCTGTCTTCGCTTTTGATGATGATGCTGCTTATTCCTAGGCGTTGGATTCGCTGCCACCCGATTGTAATTGATGAGGAAATACTTGTCGTACTCCTTCCTATTCGGATTGATCCGCTTGTGGCCCTTCTTGCGCATGTGCTCCTTGAGCGTGGGTCGATCCCGGAAGATCTTCTCGCAGTAGAGGCAAACCAAACGATTGAGGTTCTCCTCCAGATGGTCGAGCAGCTCGTCCACGTAGACCAGCTTCTCGGGCTTGCCCACCAGCAGGAAGTGCTTGTCGAACAGGTGGTCCAGATAGTCGGCCCGCAGTCCCTTGATCACCGTCCTGCAGAAGAGGCACTCCTTCGAGAAATTCCTGTCCGTCAGCTCAAACTGATGGCGCTCGAGGGCCTCGCTCAGTCGCTTCTCCTTGAGCCTTTGCCGCAGCTCGTAGTCCTGCGGCAGGATGTCGCACAGCAGGTAGTACTTCTCGTTCCTCGCGTATTTTCCATCGGGCAGTTGGTCCAGAAACATTGTGGTGCAATATTGTTCGAATTCGTGTGCTAAAATGGGTTTATTGTTATTAGAATGTTAGTTTAAGAATCTAGTTATCTTCCCACCCTGAAACTCCTTCTCCCAGTGCTGCAGATAGTCCTCCAGCAGCGCTATATCCTCCACATCGGCTATGACCAGGCGGTGCTCCAGATACAAGTGCGCCAGGCAGTCGTCTTTGTCGGCGGGAAATATGTACACCTTGTCGCACTTCAGGCACTTAATGGCCGTATTGGCCGAGGGTTTGAGTGGCGGACTGATTTTGATATCCTCCGGAGGGGAATCCTGCCCAGAAACAGCCACCTCGTGCTCCATTCCGCGGTGTTTACGTTTTGCTCCGAGAATTAGTATGACCGCAGGTACTAAGCCGAAAAATACCATTTGGTACATTGCACAGGATATTATGGTATATTATGCACTTCAAAAAATTAGGAACCTTCCCATGAAAATCGTATAACAAAATTTCAGAATTGTTAAAAAAATAAACAAACAATTTTAAAAAAGATTTTTATTTGAACCGGTTTATTTATTCTTGGTCATTGCTTTTTGTATCTTTACTGTTGCAGAATCTAATCGTTTAAGGGCCGGTTTCTCGAGTGCCGGCTAACATTTCTCGAACAGATAAAGTCCCTGCTAAGGCATTTTGGCTTTCTCGAGCATAAATGTGAGAGCTAACTTTGACAGGGACTCGGAGTCCCTGTTAAGCGTTTTCGACTCGATAGAATGACAGCTGATTTCCCAAAGCCAACTATGAAGAAGAAACGAAATCACAGCTGACTTTTCCTTTAAATTATACCCAAACAGCTGATGAAATAATCGAAGCATGCCATTTTTTTCCCTTCACAGCACAATTCTTTGCGTTAACAGCACTCTGTAATTGTTTCTCGTTCAGATAAATTAAAGCAGTCGAGAAAGCGGATTTGCTTTTACGAACAGTTTATCTGGTATTTAAGTTTTTCGAACAGATAGCTATCAGGGACTTTGACAGGGACTCGAGAAACCGGCCCTTAGTTCAATAACCAAACTGTTCAACAACATTCCAGATCCAGCCCGAAAAGTGCACAACATTTGTGTAAACTCCAAGTCCTGAACAAGACGGACGTCCATAGCTGACAATACCATGCTGGAAGACCCTTGAAATACGTCCATAGCTTTGTATTGCACTCAACGGGCCACCAGAATCCCCCGAACATGCATCGCTTCTCGAACTGCCGGCACATATCTGGGATATATCCATTTTAGTCTCAAAATTCCGCTGGCAAATCATTGGATTAATTCGATATACGGTTGCTACTTGTAGAATATCGCTATATTCACTGTCATGAGTTGCACCCCAGCCGGTGATATTAAATGATGTAATGCGTTCCACTTGTTCGTTGACAAGAACGCAGATCGGTCTGACATAATCTAAAGAAAAAATATTTCACTCAGGGGTTTCTTGTTAGCTATATCTTTTAGTTACCTGAATATTGAACCCTTTGAGCCATGCGAAGCAGGCCTATATCGTTCTTGCGAGAATTGAATTCAAATCCAGTGTGAACAAATTTTTGATCGACATCAATTTCGTATATCTTTGGTACACAAACACCAAAACTACAATCTTCTAAAATAAATTTTGCTTCTAAATCACCCAGGCGCACTTTCCTGCAATAATTATGTAAATAGGATATAGATTGTCTATGGAAAAGTAGTATTTCTGCACTTACATGCGATCAGTGAATATGCAATGCGCTGCAGTTAGAACAAATCCTGCAAAACAGTTTGAATTAGTTAAGAAATAAATAAAATTCAAATTGAAATACATACGAGAGGTGATAAGAGAGCCGCCACAAATCTCAGGACGATTATGTGAACTCGTGTTAAGTCTCAGCACCGACACCATCCAAGGATGCGAGAATATGTCCGTATCATTTCCTATAGATATCTTTCCGGAAATTTCGCCATATGTTGCAATTCCACAATCATGGTCGAGCAAAAAAGCCGATCCTTTCTTAGATCCAAGAAGTACACAGGCTAAAAGCCCAATCACCGCAATGACAACTTTCATGATAACTCGACTACTGAATGAAATTATTTTAGCGGGGTCTCTTTATATTGGGTTTATGTCCAGCGGATACTAACTCATAGCGCGTAATTCTTTAAAAATCTTGCACGCGTAGCAATAGACACTAAATATAATTTCAAACCAGCGACCAAAAAAATGATAAGACATAATTATCAATTATTTTGGTTCTAGCGAAATAACCTCTGAGGTCAGTGCTATATATAAGAAGGCATAAATATTTTATTAAAGATTGAAATATATTTGGATGAATAACAAGATTAAATTTTAATTTCGGAAAGCAAGTATCCACATATTTATACATATGTAGGTAATGGTGACAATTTACCAAAACGCTTTTAAAATATAGAGTTAGTCTGGATTTTTTTTTATGGGTTCTTCAAAACAAATACCCGTTAGTCAGCTACTGGCTCCATCTATCGGTCATTTTATTTTTTGCTCATTACTTTTTAATGAATTGTCGGATTTGAAAAATTTCTTCTACATTGTGATTCGTATTAATAAACACGAAAACTATTCCTGTTATAATTTTCCGATACTTTTAAACAGGCTCATCTAAAACAAGCAGACAGACAGACAAAAAATGTGTAAGCCTTGCATAGCATGTAACATGACTCATATATTTTAATGTGCTAAGGAATTTCATGCTTTAAATGACTCGAAAATTCCTCAGTTTTTAAATAGATTAATTTTAAAGTTTTAATCACAAATTAGTAATTAGAAATTTGTTGTTAGTAATCTTTCTAAGAATTTCATTTTGAACTTGATAAAATAAAAAATGCGTTGGGTATAAATAGAGCGGCTTTTTGGGTGGATAATCACATTAGTGAAGTGGCATATCCCCAGTGAACTACCCAAATGGCCGCCAAGAAGGATCTCCTGCTGCTCTTCGATCATCCCACGGAGCCCGTGTTCATGGACAAAGGAGGCGATGGCACCGTATTTCAAGTTCCCGACTCCTATGTGACCCATAGGTACCGAAATATCTGCAAGGAGGTTCAGGGACGCGTCTCCGGTGGCGTCGACAAGTGTGTTCCGGTGAAGGAGATCTCCGTGCCCGATCTGAGTTACCCCATGTCCTTGGGCCGAACCGAACAGTTCTCGCTGTTCCTGGAATCCCACCGCCAGAAGGCCTGTCATTTGATCGACATCTTCATGAAAATGCCCACCGTGGATGACCTGCTGAGCGTGGGTGTTTATGCCAGGGATCGGGTTAATCCGCTGATGTTTAACTATGCCCTTTCGGTGGCCCTGCTCCATCGTCCGGATACCAGGGACTTGCATCTGCCCTCCATTTCGGAATGTTTCCCGGACCGCTTCATCGACTCGCGGACGTTTAGGAATATGCGCGAGGAGTGCTATGTGGTTCAGGAATCCGATGCTCGTAAACCCAGCCGCCTGCCCGTTTTGTATACCGCCTCCGATCTCGATGTGGAGCACCGTCTGTGGTACTTTCGCGAGGATTTGGGGGTAAATCTTCACCACTGGCACTGGCATCTGGTCTATCCATTCGAGGGCGATCGCAGTATCGTGGATAAGGATCGACGGGGCGAGCTGTTCTACTATATGCACCAGCAGATTATCGCCCGCTACAACGCCGAGCGGATGAGTAACTACATGGCCCGCGTCCAGCCGTTCAACAACCTGGACGAGCCCATTGCCGAGGGCTACTTCCCCAAGATGCACTCCTCGGCCTCTGGTCGGCCCTATCCGCCGCGCTCCGATGGCACCCGACTGCGGGATGTGGACCGACCTGACCAGGCGAGAGTCGGAATCGACGATATGAAGCGGTGGCGCGAGCGCATCTACGAGGCCATCCACCAGGGCTACGTTGTGACTGTGAGTTCGGTCTTTCCTTCTTTCATCTTTCATTGATAAAAATCTACATTTTACTTACATTTTTAGGAGGATAACGAAAAGATAGACCTGGATGAGGTCAAGGGCATCGACATCCTGGGCAACATGATTGAGGCCTCTGATCTTACGGTCAACAAAACGCTGGTAAGATCACTTTTTCCATTACACACAAAACAAAACATGTCGTCGGAAAATCGATATGTGAATGTAAATTTCTGGGTATGCAATATGCATATCATTTCAACATGAAATACTCGTTTCGAACATATCGAATTTACGGGGCCGCATATCAAGCTAAAATTAATATTACATAATGTAAAATTAATCTACGTTTCATATTTTTGGGTGTAGATAATGATAAATGGGAAAGATCTGTATTATCCCCATCCAAAAAATGATAAATATTTAGGGAAACGTCCTTAACATATTTTCTATGTTTTCTAAATGCGCAGTATTGTGGCATTCACAATTAACAAATATATATCAAATCACTTTTTCCATTAGTTATTATGATAAATAGGAAATATCAGTATTTTCACCATCCAAAAAATGAAAAATGTTTTTGAATTGTATTAACATTTCCTATGTTTTCTAATTGCGCAGTATAATAGCATTCACAATTAACAAATATCAAATCACTTTTTCCATTAGTTAATATGATAAATAGGAAATATCAGTATTATCACCTTACAAAAAAAGAAACATATTTTTGGAAATATATTAATTTAATTTTTTCCAAATTCGCAGTATGGTAGCATTCACAACAAGGGGCACGTTTTGATCGCCTACTCCCACGATCCCCTGAAGAAGCACCTGGAGGACGGGGGTCTGATGAACCAACCGGAAACCGCCATGCGCGATCCAATCTTCTACAGGTGGCACGCCTTCATCGACAACTTGTTCCAGGAGCACAAGCGACTCCTGCCCGCCTACAGCGAGGAGGAGCTGAGCTTCCCGGATATCCAGGTGCACAGTGTCTGTGTGAAGAGTGAGGGAAGTCAGACCAACGAGTTGACCACCTTCTGGCAGAAGTCCGATGTGGATATGTCCCGGGGTCTAGACTTTTTGCCCCGCGGCAGAGTCAGTGGACGATTCACCCACTTGCAACACCACCCATTCACCTACAACATCAATGTGGAGAATTCCAGCAAGACCACGCTACGTGGATTCGTTCGCATCTTCCTGGCGCCCAAGTTCGATGATCGCAATGATGCCATGGTGCTGGAGGATCAGCGCCTAATGATGGTGGAGATGGATAAGTTTGAGACTAAGATACCTCCTGGATGCACTACGATTTCTTGGAGCTCCACGAAATCGAGTGTTACCATTCCGTTTGAGCGCACTTTCCGCAAACTTGATGGCGGTGAAAATCAGGATGAAAGTTCTAAGGAAAGAAACGACTTTTGCGGATGTGGGTGGCCCCATCACATGCTGGTGCCCAAAGGTCGTCCGGAGGGTCTCGCCTTCAAGCTGTTTGTCATGGTTTCCAACTATGACGAGGATAGGGTAAGTGTTCTGAAGGAATATTATATGCTTTTGGTAAACCTCGACCTTTAATTCTCCTCAAGGTGGAAGAAAACCAAGAATCTAAATGTTCCTGCAAGAATGCCGCCTCATATTGCGGACTCCGCGATAAACTCTATCCGGATCGCAGGTCCATGGGCTACCCCTTCGATCGCAGGCCACGGAAGGGTGCCCAGTTCCTGGATGACTTCCTTACGCCCAACATGAGCACCGCGGAGGTTACCATAACCCATGTGAAGAAAGTGGAAAATCCGGAAAAGACTAATGGTTTTTAGACCAGATGAAACCAACCTGACCCGATGACTCTGCTTTTAATATAAATTTTGTATATTTATTTTCGCAACCTTATGTCGTTGGTGGCGTTAGGTCTCAAGGGTATCTTATATTGGACCATCATATAATTTATTTATCTAAAACCATTTATAAATATATGCATAAATTATATAATACAGCACCGATTTTAACTTTTTATTAGTTGTTTTGGGATAGACAACAACTTTCAAAATATATGCCACGATCCTAATCCAGATGGAAATTTAAATTTAACAAACGGACGAGAAAACGGCCCTAAAACTTTTGCAAGAGTATAATTTTATATGTATGTTGAATATTTCTATCCCTTATTAACTTTAATTAATGTGCCCTAAAAATGGAAAAAGAATACCTATTTATTCAGAGGTTCTTAATAAGCTAGGTTCCAGAAACTACAATAAATCTTTTATCAAAAACGACCCATTTTCTTTCTATGTAGAAAAAGCTAAGCTTTAATCAATAAATACCGGAATATACCAAAAATCCCAGCTGCTCCCCGAGTAATATTTTATACACCTCCAGCGAACGGTCGCACTCACTGCTGAGCGGAAAACAAATTGAAAATATTAAACAAAAATCGAAACTCGGGAGCACGACGTTAGCGTAAGTGCAGCGGCAATCGATTTAGTTCGTTACGTTCACCGTTTACCAATTGAACAGTCATCAATATACACACAGATTCGCCCCCCGCTCACCCACACTGCTGCACACACACGCACAGCCCGGGGAGGAAATTTAGAGCCAGAATCTCAATTTATCAATTTGACAATACAATTTGTGGCTCGTCTGCAGTGGGTACAAAGTTCGATTCGTGTGCATTCGCCTGTGGCTGCCTGTGTGTGCGTGTGCATTAGTTTGGCTGTGTGTGGGTGTGCAGTACGCAAATGAGAAAAAAGAAACAAAAAATTAAAAGGAAAATACCATTGCAAATCATTTTTCAGTCTGTGTCCAAAGCGCTTTTGTGAAAGTATTTCCCAGTCTGCAATTTTCCGCAATTACAATGGCTGCGCACTTTTTTCGCACTGCATTTTACGCGACGGCGGCGAGAAAATCGATGAATTTGCCCTTCGCCGGCCGGACAGCCGCAACTTTAGCCGTGGGCCTCTCCTTTGGTGGTAAAATATCCCAATAATATCCTGAGAAAATACCCCCCTAATTTTCCGCATTTTCCTCGTTTTATTTATAATCGTTACCCCGCAATTAATTAGCACAAAATAGCCGGGCAGCCGTGCCGTACGAGAATGTCTACGCGGACAGCTTTTTCGGGGGCTGCCAGTCGCAGGGGCTGCTCAAGGTCCCGCCCCCGCAGGTCCGTAGGATCCAGCCCCCGCTGATCCGGAACTTCTCGAGCCTGCAGACTCAGCAACCGCAGCAGGCTCCAAATGTAAGCATGATCCTTAAGTAATGCATCCTATTGGTTTCCAAGGGGGTTCCCAGAAGATCAACAGAAGTCTAATATATTTTATAATCCTTCAAAAATAGCCTTTTCATCTTTTCAAACTCTATATAAACTCCAGATCTGAACATCCGTCCGTCTGTTCTTAAGAAATCAATCTATTTTTATTTTGTACTTTAATACCCCCAAATTATAATCAGTAAGAGTGCTGTAATTACTCTCTATAAATCCTTATCTAACCACCTACCAGATTATGGTTTATCGTATCATATCATAAAACAGCTCCTAATTAAACATCTATATAGAGAGAGACAGTAGCCATGACGATAAAAAATAGTATTACCTGTAGACTGTAAAAGCTTCAATCTTTCCTTAAAAAGAAATTCTTGTAAACCTCAGAAGACATAAGAAAAATATATATACAATATTTATAGATACAAAGATAGAATCATTACAAAGTGTAAATTAAAGAAAATACTAAGATATAAATAATATCTGCCTGTAAGTGTTTAATACTTGCATTATCACACATGTTATTATCTCCATTAAGCGTAAAGTAAAGAACAAACCTTGTGGAGCAAGGTTCATGAGTTTAACAACTTAACTATAAAATTCTTATAGATGCATCAATATGGACATAGGGAATTTTAGGGTTAAGAAGTTATAGTAGAAAAATAGCAGTATTAATCCAGGTGGCTCTTATATTTACCTGATTTCTTTATGACGCGATGAAAAATAAAAGAAAAGTTAGGTAGCTATGTGCGATAAAGCATTAAAAATAGTTGTAAATAATTCTACAAAGCCTCTCCAAAAATATTATCTAATGATAACAATAATATTACATTGTTATTGTCAGCAATTATAGTTACAGTCGGTGTATACTTAGTTATTTTATTGACAAAGTCTAGTTTGCCTAAAGTCCCATAGATATATCAGAAATCCATAAAAGTATTGAATGAAAGGTTATTTTAGTTCCCGACCCACTCATTCCTGTCTTATTGAACATCTGTTGATCTGTGTTTGAACCTTTAATTACTTTTATTTCGCCTCTTCATTTTGTGCATTTTGTAGTTTGAGACTTTGGAAATTTGCATGCTTGAGTAAATTGTATTCCCTGCACTTTGTACCCGGCAAATGATTTCGGCACTCTATCTCTCCTAACCTCTCCCCCTCTTCAGTGGTGATTTGTACAGATAAGCTGTTTTTGCTTTATATATATTATTTATAAACATTTGTACGTTATTTTAATTGCTGTTTTCCAGTGCCCTGCAATTAGTGGCGGCTCATTAACCGCTTGAACTAACCAGTAAATTATTCAGCGTATTTTGCCGATATCGAATTTCAATGAAGTGAAACCCTTATCCTTGGACTTATTTTTAGAACCACCCTCGGCATTCAGTAAGCTCAATTGAGCTCTGAAATAGCTTTTTCTCCATGATTCAAATCATAATGGCGCCCAATGACAAGCCAAACTTTCGGCAAACATTCGTGTTCTGTTTATTTTCAGGCCGCCAATTGATCATTCTCGGGTATTTTGGGTTCTAAGATACCTACAAGAACCAAGTAATATCATTTAAATAAGAATTAGTAGAAAGAAAATACTATTCAATCAGAAACATATAAGGATCTATAAATTAGCAAGACTTTTTCTAACATAATATTCAAAATTAGATGGTATCTTCTAGTCGGGACTCTATATTTACTTTACCCAAAGGGTACTGAGGCTTCCAGTGGCGCAATGTAATTTAAACCAATGCCGCAAAGAGTAGAAAAAACCTATTCCTCCGTATATACACACACACATCAGCTGAAATAACTATTTTCCATGGGGAATGTAAGCTCGCCTCAATTCCGCTCAACTATCCAGTGGATCGTTCCACTGGATCGCTGGGTGTATATGCTATATGTTGTGGATCAGTCAGTTAGTCAAAGTCGTTGCACCTGCTTAGTTTTATCTTTCGATATGGATTTCCTAATTGAGATAACGCTGCTGGTCATATTGGCAATTATACTGCTGAAGATCTATCATCGCGCGAAACGTGTGAGTGGCCCTGAACTTTCGGTTCAAGTTCAAAGAGTCAAACTAAAGTGAAAGTCTTTTCCAGCCCCTCTTTCTCTCGTTCATTCATTCATTGTATCACTCGGTGCCTCAATTATTTGATCATTCTTTTTTGCTCTTTTCGCTATAAGCAATTTATGTGGGAACTATTAAGTCACAGGTTGATTTTTCCACTAATCTAAATTGCAACTGCTTATCGTTTGATTTCGCGGGGCTATCTTCGAATCCGTAATGCTATCAGTCGGTTTAGCCTTGCTGAAAATGTAGGAAAAGAACCTAAAACCTTTGCACCACCTTCATTTAGTCTCCTGCCTTCGTGCTAATTTGTCGCTTGCCCAAAGCAATTTCTGATAATTTGCCACTAAAAGGTATTTTACGGAAGCAAATCGCCATATATTATAACATTTTATTATTGGGCACACGTTGCAACTAGATCTGTCTTCCATTTGGCCGTGAAATTCAGTGTTTGAGCTTTATAGTAACTTAATATCTCGGTGGAGACCAAACGCACTCACAACTGGAATAATCTTATCAGGAACAGCTGTTTATTATCACGTGTTCGGCGACTTTTTCAAGGTCAGCAGCTGTTGCCGTGGATAAATCAGTGCCTATATCATAAAATATTCCCCATAATTTGCATGGATTATGGTGGCAGCGTTAATCTGCGGACAGACTCTCACCGATCAGACCATATTAACCACTCAAGCTTTCCTATCTAATCAGGCAGAGCTATTCACTTGGTGACTGGACCTATCCAAACTTTGGTTTTTAGTTTAGTCGGTTAAAGAGCCCATCGAAAACCCAGAGAAGCAAATTGAAATTGTATGCTTATTTGCAAAGCTAATGAATTTAAAATGTATACAGTGCACTTGACTTTGCTTGTTGTTTCTATAGCTTCATTTCCTCTAACCCCACTAATCATGTCATATAACCTGTGCTTAACGATGATGTCTAATCAATTTATTTCGTTCTCAGAGCGCCATGGCTCCGTCGAAGAATCGCCGGTACATATCCTCCCAGGATATCACCAAGAACATGACTCTGTACACCAACAACAAGACGCAAATCGAGGTGGATCCCAAGACGCTGGCCTTTAAGAAGCCCACTGGCAATCCACTGGTTCTCATGATGGCCTGGCTGATGGCCAAGCAGAAGCATCTGAAGAAGTACGCCCAGATCTACACCGAAATGGGCTTCGATGTGGTGGTGGTGCACATTACGCCCTGGCAGTTGCTCTGGCCGGTCAAGGGAACCCAGGTATTTAATTAAATATATAAACCAAACATTTAATTTAATTGCTAATATATCTCTTTATTCCTTAAACAGGTGGTGGCCGCCGAGACACTGCGCTTTCTGGAGAACAACAAGTCTTACGAGCCGATTGTAATGCATGGCTTTTCGGTGGGCGCCTATCAGCTGGGCGAGATCATGCTGCAGATGTCGCGCGACATGGATCGCTATGGCAGCATTTTGGAGCGTTTCGTTTGCCAGATTTGGGACAGCGCCGCCGACATCACCGAGATCCCGGTGGGTGTGCCCAAATCGATTTTCCCCCGCAACGAGCGCATGCAGAGCGCCCTGCGCAACTATACGCTGTATCACATGAAGACATTCCACAACCAGGCGACCATCCACTACATGCGCTCCAGCCAGATGTTCCACTCCACGCTGCTCAAGGCCCCGGCGCTGTTCTTTGTGTCCGACAACGATCCCATCGGTCCGCCATCCTCCAATCGGGCGGTGAGCGATAACTGGGAGCGAGCGGACATCAAGGTTACGTTCAAGCAGTGGGAGCGATCCCAGCACGCTGCCCACTACATGAAGCATCGCGACGAGTATCTGCAGATGCTGTTCCAGCATCTGGAGACTTGCGGTGTCCTGGAGGCCATCGGCGTGCCCAAGCGCGCCAAGTTGTAGGCGCTCTCCGTCGCGGAGTCGCTGACGAGAATTCGGTGATATACATTTATTCAAGAATCAACGCGATTATGATTTTATCCTAGCTGCTAAGACCTAAAGTTAAACGAGAGAAAACAGTAAAACCAATGTCCTCTTTGAATGATTATCTGATCTGTGTCTTTCGCGAGGCAGAATCTTCAAAACGCCCGCTGGGGAATTCGTAGGCTAAGCTTAATGTCGTATTGTATCAACTGAGAGAAAAATGCACTATGCCTCTATATTGTTATATTTTGAGATCGCTGCAAAACGGCTAAATAAAGTAATTTAAATGATACAGAAAAGTTGAGAAATGTTTTTTAATATATTTATGCTTCTAATACTTATAGGTAAATTTCGGACATGAGATTATTCTGGGAAAATAAAATAATTAAATTAGAAAAAAAAAGATTTTCAACCACATCGCTGCGGACAGGACTTGAACCTGTGCGGGTAGAACCCAATGGATTTCAAGTCCATCTCCTTAACCACTCGGACACCGCAGCCTTATCAGAACAATCAATTTGTTATGTCATCATTTGGGGTGCATAATTTTAAGCAGATAAATCTACATTGCGAAAAAAGGATATTAAGTTAAAATTTATTTACAGGTTGTATTTTACACATAATAAAATAATGTTGGTAAATATATTTATGTTTTTCCAAATAAAGTTTACTTATAAAATACATTAAACTATAACATAAGTGAGAATTGTGAAAAAGGAATTGTGTAATTAGTATGTTACAAATTTATTAAAATATTTATTATTAATGAATGAATATATTTATAGGCCACATAGACACGAGCTCAAAACATCCACGTCCGCTTTTTTTTAATTAAATATTAGTTAAGCCAAGACACGACCCCAGAAGAGTTCTTGGTTCGTGTCCATATAAATAGCACGCCATCCCTGGAAATTTGTGGACGAGGGGGGTTGGTTCATAACTAGTTGGAACTTCGCCACGAGGTCGGCACAGCTGCGGTGTCCGAGTGGTTAAGGAGATGGACTTGAAATCCATTGGGTTCTACCCGCACAGGTTCGAATCCTGTCCGCAGCGGATTTTTTTTTCTTTATTAATTTTTTTTTTTACAATTTCTTAGTTGCAGCTTGAGTTGGTATGCGATTTATCTTTGTATTACACTTTATTTTCTGTGATGCTGGATGGTCAATTAAACAATATTTATAAAAATCAGGAAATTTGTACAAGCAAGTACTTAAAAACATTATAATCGGATTAGCAACTATTGATTTGGTACTGTTAAGCATTGAAATTGCCATTCTTAAAGGAAAGTGTTAGGCATTATTCCTAAGACGACCAGTTTTCTGGAATCGCTTTAAAAACTTTTAGTTAGGAACTGCTTTTAGTTCGATTTACATTGAATCCTGAGGTTTGTCAAAATTAAAACAATCCTATTTACTTGGTTTTCAAAGGAAGATAATTAAATAACCCCTTTCCAACTAATTAGCCTTCTTAACTATTATAAAAATCATTCTCATTCAACAATGATTCGCTTTTCTCTGCTTTAGAGTACCACATATTACATGCGACCTCCAACAAGTCTTACATTTGCTTTTGGTTTATGTGTATATTTTGTACGTCTGCTACAAAAATAGTTTGCATTTTGATTTATCTTTACAACTATGGTTTTATATTTAAAAAGAAACTTAATACAACATGTCTGTATTAGTACAATAGCCTTAAAACTAAACCAGGCAGAAGACGATTTCTTCTTACTGCTTGGGCGGTGGTCGGTAGACGCCGACGACGACGGCGTGGTCTCGCTCGTAGGGCTCCAGCGTGAGCTGCTCCTGCGGCTTCAGCTTGTCCGCCTGCATCTTCTTCACCTCGGCAGCGAATACCGCCTCGGGTTGCGCCGTGGAGTCAATGCAGGAGGCCTTGATCGAGATGACAAAGTGGCCGCCGTTCTTCAGGAAGTGCTGGGCATTCAGCGCCACAATACGACCCTGATCAGGCTGGGCAACGTCGGCGAATATGGTGTCCACCATGCCCACCAGCATGCGGTACTTGTGCGGATGGCGAGCGTCCTCGATGATGGGTATGATGTTGGTGCGCTTCTTGGCCACGTTGATCAGATCGCGACCGGATCGGTGTGAGAACTCCACGGCGTAGACCAGACCCTCGGGACCGACCACATCGGACACATGGGAAACTGTCGTTCCGGAGGCGGCGCCCAAATACAGAACCTTGGAGCCCGGCGGCATGTGAATCTGCTCAACGCCACCCAAAACGGCAGCGGCCAACTTGGAACGGAAGGGGTTCCACACACGGTACTCGATCTTCTCGCCATTGGTCTGTAAATAAGTTGAAATGTTGATTAAATATGTGGGTTGATGGATTTTTAAATAGTTATTTGAGAAACTGGGAAATGAAAAGCGGAACAGAAGTTGCAGGGTATTTATAAACTTTGGAATATTAGATAGTATACATAATATCTTTATATTTACAATCCTAGATGGGAATTTTAATCAGAATTAAAATTTGCAAATTTTAATAATGGAAACAATATTTTTTTCTTTAAAAATTTAAAATATTTTTAAAAAATGTCTAAAACTTTGAAAACCTTATAAATAAAAGTATAAAAAAAAGTGTGAAAATTAAATTATTAATTTTTATGATGGAAACAATAACTTATTTCTCAAAAATATGATGGAAACTAGAACTTATTTCTCAAAAATAATTACTGTTCAATTAATTTAGTTTCAAAAATATCTTTAACTTTGAAAACCTTATAGTTTTCCCTTGAAAAATAGTTGATAAACACATGGTATTCAAAGATAACCGAAAATCACTTTACAAAATGGTGGATTGGATTGTTTGGGCTCGGATTGTTTTGGGTTAGGGATAGATAGATAGTTAGTTAGATACTATAGCCTCAGCTGTGCATTGTTCTAAGCAGACCTTGGAGCACCCGCGACTGCTTCACGTGCACCTGGAGTGCACACAGCCACAGGTGGCCGCCAAGGATGCTCATGGCCACATGATGCCATGTTCTGTACCCCTGCGCACAACCTCATCATTAGCCAGGAATTGGATTGGTTTTCTAGATTATAAATAAAAAGTGAGTGAAAGACAAACCTCAACAGAGATGCGCTTCTCGCCGTAGACCTCGGATCCGGGGACAAAGTTCCTGGTGACCAGGGCGTCCTCCTTGCCGCGCGCAATGAACACTCCCTCGTGACGATGGGCTTCGATGGTCACGGTTTTGCCGCCCTTGAAGCCGCCGGCGCCACCACCACGTCCGCCGCCTCCACGGCCACCACCTCCACGTCCTCCGCCTCCACGGCCACCACCGCGTCCGCCGAAGCCACCGCGACCACCGCCGCGATCTCCGCCGCCGCCGCGTCCACGGCCGCCTCCAAATCCACCGCGACCTCCACGATCTCCGCCGCCACCGCGTCCACGGAAGCCACCTCCTCCTCCGCCACCGCCGCCTCCGAAGCCGCCACCTCCTCCGCCGCCGCCGCCACGCCCACGGAAGCCACCGCCTCCTCCTCCGCCGCCGCCGCCACCGCGTGGACTAAATCCTGCAAGAGAAATAGTTCGCATTTGAATATTCACCCAGCAAGAGGTTAAGTTAGTCGCTCCAAACGGCAGTTGCGCCGCCTGCCTTGATGGATTCCATTAACTAGTCATGTTGCCCACCTGGTTTACCCATTTTAAGCTGCTGTACTTGCACTTTTTAATACAACTTTCGACGAAATGTGAATTGGTCCGTTAGCACGCGGCAACCAAAACGTTCGAAAAGAAAAACACGTGTGTGCGCCAGTTAGAGGTGGTGGAGAAACATCGATGCATCGAAACGTCGATGTTTTTGGCGACAATCGATATTTTAGTCACATCACAAATTTTAAACAAAAAAAAAAAAGAAGCGAAAAATGTGTTTTTATTTTAAAGAAATTACTGTCATGCGCGAATCCACGGGGGGTTATATTTTTGTTTCAAAGCATCAAAAACATCAATGTCTGCGAACATTTTCAGGTAAAATAAACCTCTTTGAATTTAAAATTAAAATTTTTTCTACTTTCGAATATACAACAAATTTCTTAAGCATCCATTTGCCCTATTCAAATTCAAATGAGTTCAACTTTTGCGCTAAAAACCACGAAGAAAACAGGCTCACAGGGTGCCATGTGCGACAGGGTGTCCACCAGTGGACTAATGGGTTGTGAACTTGGCTAAGATTTAGCCAGGTCCCGAACCATTATCTTAAATTTATTTAAAAATGGTAAATTCAAAAATTTATTAATTAGTTTAAATCTAATAAAGAATAGTTATATATGTCGATTAGAAAAACCTTTCTAATTTAAAAGTAAAGTCATTATTTTTAATAATTTCTAAAAGTGTTTTTACAATATTTAAAAAATTATATGTTTTTAGTCATTATATCAAGGCATAATTTTATTTTCACCCTATAGGTAAAATTACATTGGCCATTTAGAAGATTTTAAAAGTATAAACCATGAATATCGCTGCATTGAACTTGCGTATTTTATAAAAGTTCAAATAAACTATACATCAATTTAAAACTTAACAAAACAATTTAAAAATAAAATTTATATTTATAAAGTGGGAAATATTTAATAAATATTTTCAGTAATTTATATATTTTTACACTTCCACGCCTGAATACCTGTAGAAGGAAATTAAATTCCTTAACTTATAACTATAGTAACCTATTTTCCATCCTCCATCCTAAACAAACAAATCACTGCCGGTTGTCCTTGACTATGACCCAAACGCCTTGGAGATCTAGTGTTCGTTGACCAAACAACCATTTCAAATCGATGTTTCAGGAAAAATTATCAGTCCACTTTGAGAGTTCCAGTTGTGGACACATATTTTCTGAAATTATTAACGAATAAATCCAATTGTTTTTTGTTTAAACTTAACCCATTTAAAATGGCCTTCCACTCGGTGGTAACGATGGAAAAACCCCTTCAGCACATCTCGCTGACTGACTGGTATGCCCGGGTGAACCAGATGCGCAATGTGGCGGATGCCCGGAGATCAGACGCCTTCGCCATCCGCCACTCATCCCGATCCCTGAGGAACGAGACGAGGATCGAGGGCGATTGGGCCAACTACGAAACTAATGAAGCTCTGACCGATCGGTAAGTTCATAACATCAATGTTTGTCTATTTAAACGGAACAGAAATATTATCGATAATGAGTTTAAATTCAAGAGTTTATTCTCTCACTTTTTCAAGAAGAAACGTTCTCGATTTTATTTTGAGAGAGATACAGTAGCCTCGATTTAATTTTTTGAGACGAAAGAAGTTTCTTAAAGTGAGAATCCCTAGTCTATTTTAAATCAATTTAATATTGAATCGAATTTAGCTCACTTTTGATATTAAGAATTCTTGCTTGGAACAGTTTTCATGACGTTTTTTTTTCGAAACATTTTTTACTATAATATATTTTCTAAAATAAACCATAAAATGGCTTAAAAAATTTTTTTTTGAAAACCTATTCTTCAACAACATTAAATATTAAACATATAACAGTATCTCCGAGTTGAATCGCTGGAGGGATATAATTTCAAAGTCCTTCGAAAAGATCGAGCGCGAGATCTTTATGCTGCAGGAGGAGAAGAACGCCACGGAACGCGAGTTGGAGGCGCTGGCGGGACCGATTTCGGTGATAGCCGAGTGCCTTACGATGCGCGATGGTCGCCTTGGATCGGAGATCACCTACGATGAGGCCGATACGGAGATCAAGAACGAACTGGTGGTACTGGAGAACAACCAGAGACTCCTGGCCGATCGTTGTCAGAAGGCTTGGGAGAAGCTGAACCGCCTGGAGGAGGTGCGCTTCAAGATTGGCCTGGAGATCGAGTTCAAGGTGGAGGCGGTGCAGCTGGATAACTCTCAACTCGCTCTCGATCGCAACTCGGCGAATATCTCGTACAAACCGGATCCCACCAGGAATCCAAAGAAGTGAGTAGGATTACAATTTATAACTTAATTCAGAAGTTAAACCCCCTTCTTTAGTTCCTGTTCCTACGAGTCCTGGCTGGAGAACGTGAAGAACGTCAAGCTGCTGGCAGAGAATGAACTGGCCGACACGTACGCCATCCGGGAGGCGTTGTTCGTGTGCCGCGAGAAGGCGCGCAACATGCTGCAGTCGCAGCAGGAGCGGGCGGAGCACACCATCCGCAAGCGAATCTTCGAGACGCAGCGAGCGCGAAACGAACTGGAGTGGCAGCAGCTGAAGATGAAGGACGAGATGGAGAAGGCGATGTGCGAGATTCGCACCTCGGAGAATGCGCTGCGGGACAAAACGGATGCTTTGAAGCTGGCCGAAACGCGTCTGGAGAATCGCGCGCAGAGATCGGGCATGGAACTGTGCATGGACCAGGCGCACGACATGCTCTGTTTGGAGGTGGAGAAGCTGCGCGAGATTCGCCGCCGACTGCAGGCCAAGATCGACGAGAGCAAGACCAACTTCAATCTGCTGGAGGAGCACGGCAAGCGCATCGACGTCGATCTGGAGAACAAGCAGCACTCGCTGATGACCGACATCCGTGCCTTGGATCTGCGTATGCGTCTCCGGGGCGGAGAGTTCGGCTCCAAGACCTCGAATGCCTCGCAGACCGACAGGAACATAACGCTCACACGCATGGAGAACGAGATTCCCAAGGATTAGTTTGGATTTTCATACGAAATATTATCACTCAATGTATTTACCCCTGACGTTCATTCAAATTTTTGTGGAATAAACGATTAAATTCTAGAGCTTCTTTTGGCGAAAGCTAAAGTTAAGTTCGCCTAGCAGAGGTTTGAAGTCCGTGCTCCATTCGAGGTGACTTGCGGCTTCTTTCGGTTTCCTGGGAAAGTGCACGCCCTGTCGCACGAACATATCCCACTTGACAAAGTCACCGGGCGTGACGGGTTCACTGGGACCACTGCTTACGATAGATCTGGGACTGCTGTCGTCTATCAGCTGCCAATCCACCCACAGAGCCACTCCATTACAGGTTAGAGGACTGTAAAAGAGATTTAAGTTGGTAATTTACAGAGTTCTGTTAAAAACATGAAAAATTGTATTTTACAGTGTGAGCTAAATTTTTGACATGTGTCAAAAAATACAAAAGTGTTAAAATGTGAAAAATAATTGTTAACACACACAGCTCACTTGAGTTTTTTACTCAATGTGTTTTTAGCATGACGTGTTTTTTACACACTGTGTTTTTCTAACACAAATGAAAATTACATTTTACTGACATTAACGAATTGAAAAGAAAATTAAAAAACCAATATGGGTTTCAAGCATATATGAATTCTTATACTGTGGAAAACCGTGCATTTTTAAAATTTTTAAACTCAAACTCATTGTGTTAAAAACACGTTGTGTAAAAAACATGTGTTAAAAACTCGTCGTGTAAAATACACAAATGACATGTGTGTGTTATTTATGTTACTAACATATGTAGGATACAATTTTTTACACACAAGTCAATAATTTTTTTTTTGAACTTAGCACTTTGACATTTAACATGTTAATAACACAAGTTTTTTACAGTGTGTGTTATTTTGCGAACCCTGGTAATTTATGTGGTAAAACTACATAATTTTACTTACTTGATAAGTTCTATGCTTCCCTTGAGGCTAAGTTCCTTGCTAAAGTTGCCAAAATCCACATTGAGCACTTCCTGGGGTTCGGAAAGGGCACGGCAGGGGTATTCCCACAGAGGCTGGGCCTCCACCTGGGACACAGCCTGCTCAGCAGAGCGCTGTACGCAAGAAAGTCATTAGTTCTTTGCATAAAATCATTTAAATTGTAGTAAAAGACCCACCTCCACTATTTCATCGAACAAACGCAGATCGAAACCCTCGCAACTGCCAATAGGTGCTCGAATCTTGTGCAGATCCAGAAACTCCACGGGCAGCGCATAGATCCTCGCCGAGCAGGGCGAAATCTTCACATTCTCCGGCAGTCTGTCCTTGATTTTCATCAGCAAGGTGCCAAAGTAAAAGTTGTCCCAGGGAAGGATCGAATTTAAAAAGTAGGGCTCTGCGAAGATGTGGGTGAGGGAAGTCACATCTTCGATCTCCTCCACTTTGTCCACAAACTGCACGTTCTTCAGCTGATTGTGCTGGACAATCGACTCGAGTAATCTCCGCGAGAAGCGATGCGGTTCATGCAGCTTCACAGAGGCGGCGCCCAAAGCAGAGCTCGCCAAGCCGAGCAGGCAGCCGTTGCCCAAAACCAGGAGATTGGATTTTCCCGACTCAATATTTTCCTCCAGGTAGCGCAGGTAGCGCTTGTTCCTCGGCGACTGGTTAAGCTGTCCGATCCGGCTGCGCGAGTAGGTCATGTGCAGGTCGCAGGAGCAGGTATGCCGGCGCACACTCTTCTTAGGCTCCTCCTCCTCGCGAGCATCGAACCACAGGGAGTACTCGTCGTGGTGGCGTATGCGTCTCCGGGGCGGAGAGTTCGGCTCCAAGACCTCGAATGCCTCGCAGACCGACAGGAACATAACGCTCACACGCATGGAGAACGAGATTCCCAAGGATTAGTTTGGATTTTCATACGAAATATTATCACTCAATGTATTTACCCCTGACGTTCATTCAAATTTTTGTGGAATAAACGATTAAATTCTAGAGCTTCTTTTGGCGAAAGCTAAAGTTAAGTTCGCCTAGCAGAGGTTTGAAGTCCGTGCTCCATTCGAGGTGACTTGCGGCTTCTTTCGGTTTCCTGGGAAAGTGCACGCCCTGTCGCACGAACATATCCCACTTGACAAAGTCACCGGGCGTGACGGGTTCACTGGGACCACTGCTTACGATAGATCTGGGACTGCTGTCGTCTATCAGCTGCCAATCCACCCACAGAGCCACTCCATTACAGGTTAGAGGACTGTAAAAGAGATTTAAGTTGGTAATTTACAGAGTTCTGTTAAAAACATGAAAAATTGTATTTTACAGTGTGAGCTAAATTTTTGACATGTGTCAAAAAATACAAAAGTGTTAAAATGTGAAAAATAATTGTTAACACACACAGCTCACTTGAGTTTTTTACTCAATGTGTTTTTAGCATGACGTGTTTTTTACACACTGTGTTTTTCTAACACAAATGAAAATTACATTTTACTGACATTAACGAATTGAAAAGAAAATTAAAAAACCAATATGGGTTTCAAGCATATATGAATTCTTATACTGTGGAAAACCGTGCATTTTTAAAATTTTTAAACTCAAACTCATTGTGTTAAAAACACGTTGTGTAAAAAACATGTGTTAAAAACTCGTCGTGTAAAATACACAAATGACATGTGTGTGTTATTTATGTTACTAACATATGTAGGATACAATTTTTTACACACAAGTCAATAATTTTTTTTTTGAACTTAGCACTTTGACATTTAACATGTTAATAACACAAGTTTTTTACAGTGTGTGTTATTTTGCGAACCCTGGTAATTTATGTGGTAAAACTACATAATTTTACTTACTTGATAAGTTCTATGCTTCCCTTGAGGCTAAGTTCCTTGCTAAAGTTGCCAAAATCCACATTGAGCACTTCCTGGGGTTCGGAAAGGGCACGGCAGGGGTATTCCCACAGAGGCTGGGCCTCCACCTGGGACACAGCCTGCTCAGCAGAGCGCTGTACGCAAGAAAGTCATTAGTTCTTTGCATAAAATCATTTAAATTGTAGTAAAAGACCCACCTCCACTATTTCATCGAACAAACGCAGATCGAAACCCTCGCAACTGCCAATAGGTGCTCGAATCTTGTGCAGATCCAGAAACTCCACGGGCAGCGCATAGATCCTCGCCGAGCAGGGCGAAATCTTCACATTCTCCGGCAGTCTGTCCTTGATTTTCATCAGCAAGGTGCCAAAGTAAAAGTTGTCCCAGGGAAGGATCGAATTTAAAAAGTAGGGCTCTGCGAAGATGTGGGTGAGGGAAGTCACATCTTCGATCTCCTCCACTTTGTCCACAAACTGCACGTTCTTCAGCTGATTGTGCTGGACAATCGACTCGAGTAATCTCCGCGAGAAGCGATGCGGTTCATGCAGCTTCACAGAGGCGGCGCCCAAAGCAGAGCTCGCCAAGCCGAGCAGGCAGCCGTTGCCCAAAACCAGGAGATTGGATTTTCCCGACTCAATATTTTCCTCCAGGTAGCGCAGGTAGCGCTTGTTCCTCGGCGACTGGTTAAGCTGTCCGATCCGGCTGCGCGAGTAGGTCATGTGCAGGTCGCAGGAGCAGGTATGCCGGCGCACACTCTTCTTAGGCTCCTCCTCCTCGCGAGCATCGAACCACAGGGAGTACTCGTCGTGGTGGCAGCTCAGGTGAAACGTTTTACCTGCCTCGAGCAGCTGGAAGGGCCTGGGTATGTAGTAGATGGCCTGCATCCAGTGATCCCGCCAGGGCACCACATTGGCCAGTGGGTGATCCCTTGCCTTCTTAGCAGTCAGTTCTTTGAGCTGCGGATGCGCCCAGTAGGGAGCACAGCTGAGCAGGATCTCGCCGTCATCGTCCATTTGAATGTCCCACCAGTAGAAGACCAGCTCAGCGGCGCCCGGCTGCTTGGATTGCACTTGGAGTAGCTGCTGCCGCTGCTTCTCCCTCTCCTCCTTCCGCTGAAAGTCAAACTGGAAGATCTCCACGGGATCGGTGAGCGGACGGAAGGCGGCGGTGGGCAACTGGGACAGCTGGACGTCATGGAGACCCGCCTCTCCGGCGCATTTCTTAAGCTGCTCCGGCGGATGCAGCAGAGGTTCGCCATCCAGATTGGCCAGCGTTTTCAGGCTGTTCCACTGCGCCGCCAGCGGGGATTGGGCCACCTGGGCGTAGCACCTGGCGCGGGCGGGAATGCAGAGGGCATCCTCGGTGAGCAGCTCGGCATGGGCATGATTATAAATCCCGATGGCGCCCTCGCCGATCAATTCCGTGTCCAGCAGCTCGGCCACCAGGAGATTGGCCTTCCGCGGCATATCCTCGCCCACCAGCAGCTCCGTGGAACGTTTGCGGATGAGGCGAATCCGGTCGCCCACTCCATTGGCGGCCAAAATCTTTTCCGCGCAATTGGCCATCGGGAGGAAGGCCTCGCAGGCAGTCACCGAATCCGCTCCTGCAGCGAGGGCCATCATGGAGAGGATGCCCGTGCCGGTGCCGATGTCCAGGACATGGACCTCCCTGCCCGCCGCCCGCATTCCGCCAATGGTCTTCCTCAAAGCCGCAAAGTACTTCTGATTCCGCTCCCAGTCGTGCAGCATGTCGCCGAATCCCGCGTTCGCCACCTCCAGGTGGTAGTCGTAGTCGTCGCCGCGCTCCTGCCAGGAGTTTTTCCCTGTCATCGGGTTTAGCACTTGCGAGAAGCAGGACATCGTGCGGCGGCTCAGAAAGCGTGACTTTAGCAAATTCCTCAACATAAAAAACCGGCAAGTAAATAATTCCCACAGTGTTGGCTGGTTTGGCTGGAAAATGTGTTCCAAATAGTAGCTAAAGTAGCTATATTTTAGCTAGTAAAGTAATTTAAATTAGCTAATCATATGGTACGGTTAGTTTTAATGTAAAAATCATGCGCGGTTCCTTGGGTGATATGGGTGATACATCACACCCCACTCGGGTGAAAAATGAAAGGAATTTTGGTATTCAAAATGTATGCAACAAAAAAATTGTTCTGATATCACCCCCACAACAAAATCCTAGATCCGCCATTGGTATAAATATACAAGCTGAAATATACAAAATGAAAATAACGAGAACTTCCTAATATATGTATTTATCTAATAAAATATTATATTATTAAAAAAATTAATTTACATATTTAAAATTCTGAATTGTAAAAACTTTAAAATGACGTGTTATAAACTACAAATTTGCTTTTAATTCCGGACATTAAATCTAATTTTTAAGCTCCTATTTCTAAGTGTTCTACTCATAAATAAAACACCGCAAAATAGCTAAGAGGGCACATCTCTTTTTAAGCCTGCCACTCTGGCAGAAAACCTTGCCATCTGGCAGCAAATATACATCGAAATTCTTCCGATAAATCGATAGATTGTGGCGGTTTACCCTCATAATTTCAAATATAATACACGATTTTGTTGATTCTGTTTAAATATATTTTATTATTTTCATATCTTTATGGTAAATACTTAAATGTAAATGTTAAATATAAAGTTTTTAACTTAGAACTGTTGATCGAGTCGCCGTTTGACGCTGGCCAAAAGTTTTGCCCGATGACTCAGTCCACAATTTCTGACCAAAGGAGTCTCACCATCGCATTTCTTTTTGTGGGTGGTATAACTTGCAGCATCTTCCTTCGCATCAAAGCAATTGTTGAATATGAAATCCACCAAAAAATATCCTAGGACAATGAGTATCAGACAGGCGGGATTAGCTTGAAGAAACGACTGAGGACTTTCCATTTTGTTCTATATGGTGACTCCTTGAAGTGCCGATATCGAATGATGTGGTGGTCTCATTATTCAATCTATTTATATACAATTCAGGTAAGATTTAATCCCCAAGTACCTGTAATTGGGTCAAAAGGTCAAAAAGGGTTAATGATTTGATTAGTAAACACAGTCATAAATCGTAATCCTTTTCCCTTTTGAGGGAGCTCTATGTTATTCGCAATTAAAAGGGTTTCAAGTTTGTTCAAACTTGTCTTGTTGGGTATTATTGTTATTATTTCAACTTAGAGGAGTTAAAAATGGGCTTTTAATTTGTACTATCTTCTTTATGACGATAATGTACATTAAATGGGTATCAAAAATTAGATAATACGTCTTAATAGCCAATCGTTCGTTCTTGGTCAGTGAATATTCCCATTTGATATGTGCAGATAGATAATAAATTTACGGACACACCCCAAGCAATGAAAAATGCCGCGTTTAGTTTAAGTTTGAACCAGCTAGAGAACGGTTACTTTTTGCGGCAGGATAATGGAAAGGATAGTCGAGATCTACCATGGATACGCCCTACTCATTGGCATGACGTCCTATAGAGTGGTTAATGGCAGATTTCAACAAACAAAAATAACGCAGGCTTACGCCTTGGCCATAAATATAGTAATCATTTTCATTCTACCACCGGCTTTTTTGGGCTCTGCTCAAGGAATGATGTCGGCATCCTGGCTACCAGATATGATGTATTTAACACCATTCGTACTCTATTCGGTCAACTATGCAGTTGTAATATATATCCTAATATCGCGTTGCTATCGGGACAGCTTGTTTTTGGATTTGCTAGACCTATCCAAAGAATTAAATCGGAAAATGGTGATTGCTGAAAGGAAAACGAACCCAAAGCTGCAGAGACTTTTGTATTTGAAATCATTTACACTCGCATATTTGTGCCTCGCTTCCTTAGTAACTCTTTTTACACTAAAATCGGGAATTTTTCTAGCCCTATTAATCAACATTGCCTACAGCATCCTGAATGCCACCACATACTTTCACTTTACATCCTTTTGGCAAATTGCCAGAGGCTACGATTTTCTCAACCAAGAAATGAAGGACCTCCTCATCGCCTCACGATCAGGAAAGAATATGAAAAAAGATTCAAGGATTCTGCGAGATCTGTGGTCTCTTCATTCGAATCTCAGTATCATGGCCAACAGAGTAAATAAGGTCTATGGACTTCAGATGATGGTCTCCCGTGCGGATTATGTTATTTTCACCATCATATATGGCTATATAGGAATAATATATCTATACCAAGGAATGAGTCTTAGTATATTGCATGCTGGATTAATATATTTCGTCCGTTCTGTGGACTTTTTTCTCAACGATTTCGTATGTGACTTGATCTCACGGTATCAATGCTTTCCAAAGCATGAAATTATCGAGGGAAAACTGTCACAGGAGGTAATAAAAACACATATGATTTTGGATAGTAATAATAATTATAACTATAATTACAGCTAAGTGCCTATCTGATCTACGAGACCACCATGAGACTCGATATGAAGGTATTCGGGCTCTATCCAGCCAACAAAAGTCAATGGCTTGGTATGTGGGGATCTATATTTTGCCACTCCACATTGATGCTTCAATTCTATGTAATGCTAAGGGATTAGTACTTAAGAAATATAAATTCAATTTTCAATGTTACTATGTTTTGTTGTATAAATCAACCCACTAATAATAAAAAAGGTGAATAGAATTTTAGAAACGAAAAAAACAGAAAATACGAGAAAGTATTAAAAAACCACCAAAACTAAAATATATCACTATGGACGGCAGTCCATGTAGTGACGAAGCGCACCAGGAGAGGGTGCGAAGGCGACTACTATATATACACGAAGAAATGAAAATCTACTGTGATGGTCCGATCATAATGAATGATACATCTATCGAAAGGTATTGCGAAAACTAACAGGATTGCATACCAAGACTCTAAGAAAATCAATTGGCTTGGGAGAGAGAGACGTGAAAGTGAAAAAGTGAATATTTCAAAATTTGGAGCTGTTGGGGCCGGTGGGGATAATTGCCCCCTCTCAATGTTTTATTTGTATTCCTTTTGAAAATACCCGTCGAATGAGGGGTCATTTGTCAAAATCCGACGCTCCGTTCAAAAGTTATAGCCAAAATAAGATTTTCTTCGTCTTCCCAAAATGAAAATTTAATTCTGTTTGTCAGTTTGTCAGTTTGTCAGTTTGTCAGTTTGTCAGTTTGTCAGTTTGTCAGTTTGTCAGTTTGTCCAAAACATGTTTTCTAAGTTTTGAAAATTTGATATGACGTTCATCACATCGATATAAAAAACTTTTGTTCTACCACTTTTGGAAAAACTCGCTAGTTTAGCGGGAAAACAGCTATAAGTAGCTAAAATTCGGAAAGCCGTAACTTCTATACTACTAAAGCTACAGACTTGTGTTATATCTCGTTTGAAAGGTATTTTTAAATGCTATAAACGCTTTTTATATGCAATTTGTGTAAATGTAATAGTTAAAAAAATATGAACAAAAGACAATTTTTTAAAACTTTTTTTTTAGCTTTTTTTTATTTTTCTCAAAAACGGCTCTAACGATTTTCTTTAAAACTTTAAACTGTATAGCCCTTGAGATTCCTTAAATTTTGGTATATAACACATTACTGTAAAAAGTCACGTTTAAAAGTTATTTTTATACGAAAATAGCCACTTTTGCAAGCTCGAACTACTAACGCTCCCTGAGTATTGAATTTTGTGTGAGGGTATCCGAACTGTATTTTAGGGTCACGGAATCAGTAAATTTGCACTTAAGAGTTCCATATAGGAATCTTTTGTTCTACGACTTTTGGAAAAAGCCGCTACTTTAGCGGGAAAAAGCTAAAAATAGCTAAATTTCGTTAGTTTGTAAGTTCTACACTACTAAAGGTACAGACATGTGCTATACCTCGTTTAAAAGGTATTTTGAAATACTTCAACGCCTTTTTAACTTAATTTGTTAAAATACAATAGTTTAAAAATTATGATTGACCAATTTAAATTTAAATGTATATATTAGCTCCTATGAGAGCAAATGTAAACAAACAAAAACTTCTGATATCAAATAAAAACACCTCTTAACGAGGTAAAAAACTAGTGACGACCGCACCTTCAACATACAAAAGTTCTGATATCAACATTTGTGACGATAAATTATTACACTCGTCATTAAATAGACTTTCTAATCTTTTCTCATTCGTCACGCTGCAATAGAAAATGCATGTAAAGGGAAAAAGGCTGGAATAGTTTGCTAGGGCGGGCCGAATGAGAAAATATTAGAAAGTCTATTTAATGACGAGTGTAATAATTTTTCGTCACAAATGTTGATATCAGAACTTTTGTATGTTGAAGGTGCGGTCGTCACTAGTTTTTTACCTCGTTAAGAGGTGTTTTTATTTGATTTTTTAAACAGAAATTTTTAAGATTCATGTGACACGGAATTTTATCAAAACTAGTATAATTTACTTTCACATTTTGTTATTAGAAAATTGTTATAAGAAAATTTCTATTGGTAAAGATGATAATAAAAACACAATTTGTAAAAATGTTTAAAATAAAAGATATTTTTCAAGTCCTGTTAAGGGTATTAGAAACAATCGGTCTCGTTGAATTATAAGAAACACGAAATCGAATCAAAAAATCGATCATCTATTCGAACAGATTTGGATCGCCCAGCGGAATAACACTTTGACTAATTGACTTCAACTTTATAGTTAGGACGAGCGATTGATTTTAGTTGCTGTAGGAACCTATTGGTCGTCGGTTCATTCGGATTGTAACGACAATGAGGTGGATTGTTCAGGCGTATAACGCATACGCCATGCTCATCGGCATGACGTCATATGTGACAATAGGTGGAAAGTTCAAGGAAACGAGGATTAGTCAGATATATGCTGTGGTCATGAATGTCATCGCCTTGATAATGCTACCGATGGGTTTCTGGAAATCGGCTCAGTGGATGAATATGGCCGAATGGCTACCATCGTACATGTGGATAACGCCATACGTCCTGTACTCGACTGAGTATGCTGTTATAGCTTATACACTGATTTCGAGATGCTTCAGGGATGCCATGTTACTGGACCTACAGCTCATAATAGTCCAAATTAATCGGGAGATGTCGCGTACAGGAAAGGAAATTAATTTCAAGCTACGTCAAATGTTTGTTTGGAAAACCTGCACGTTGAGCTACTTGTGCTTTTCCTATTTACTCACCGTATTCGTTTACCAATGGAGAATGCAATGGTCTGAAATTTTGTGCTTACAACTGGTCAACACTTTCCTAACCATTCAAATTGTCAGCACATACTTTTACTTTGTTTCCTTTTGGCAAATTGTCAGGGGCTATGACTTTGTCAACCAGCAACTGGAGGAGATCATCTCGGATCAATCAATGGACAGCAGAGATAAGGAAGAGGAACTCCGCAGCCTGTGGGCTCTGCATGCGAACCTAAGTCGAACTGCTGGAAGAATTAATAGGCATTACGGCCCCCAAATGCTGGCCACCCGTTTCGATTACTTTATATTCTCCATTATCAACGGATATTTGGGCACAATCTATGCGAATTATGACCAAACCCCTTCCGTTGAAAAGTTCTACGGAGCTCTTATCTATTGGATACGAAGTGTAGACTTCTTTCTAAACGACTATATTTGCGATGTGGTCACTGAGTACCAAAGCCAGCCAAAGTACTTTGTCACCGAAGGCAGCATGTCCAACGAGGTTAATAATAATCTGTTTTTCAACTGAAAAACTATTTCTATAAAGTCTGTTTTTAATTTTCAGCTGAGTTCTTTCCTGATCTATGACAGCAGCATGAGACTGGATTTGATGGTTTGTGGACTGTATCCGGCAAATCGAAAGAAATGGCTGCAAATGGTGGGCTCTATTATAGTGCATTCCATAATGCTGCTCCAGTTTCATATCGTTGGGAGTAAGAAATAGAAGGTGCAAATGAATAAATTAATAGATTAAATTAAAATTTTAAATAACATGTGTTTGACGTTTATTGGGATCTTTGTTCTATTTAAATGTATTAATAGGGGCATTTATTTATAATATAATTTCGGTTTAATTTGTTTAACATAGTAAACCAAAATTGTATTGTTCAAAAGTAAGCAGCTGAAAATACGAGAGCAGAGAGAAATTAAAAAATACATTTATCTATATTTATTAAATGGTCCGTGTTAATTTAACTGTGAATTACAAATTATTCCTTAAAACATTTTTGTCTGTGTATTCACTTTAGATTATTACCAGATAGAAGTGCCATTATGACAATGCTCTATTTAAAAGACGTCTTACAATCTCGAGACCTTAGATCGTTACGATTCAGTCCAAAATGACTGCATTGATATGTTCAGTGACACCTAAACTCAATTTAAAAGGATTAGTAATTGTATTAATGGTAGTCTTAACACTTTACAAGGTCCGTTCTAGTAGGTTAGTCCATGTTGGAAAATTGTCAAAAGTGGTTACTTTAAAAACATTAAGAATGCAAAGACTCGACGTCATATATAACTCATACGCCCTGCTCATCGGCATTACATCCTATAGATTGGTGAACGGAAAACTTATTCAAACTAGAGTAACGCGGATTTATGCCCTGGTTGCAAATGTAATCTATTTATCAGTTTTGCCCATTTGCTTTTGGGAAGATGCCAAGCTTATTTCAAAAGATGACTCGCTGCCTACATTTATTAAGATGTCGCCATTCGCTCTGAATTTTATGACTTACTCTGTCATATTTATAGTTTTCACCTCGAGATGTTATTGGGAAAGGGAGTTGTTGGTCACTCAGCGCTTAAAGAATCAATTGAATCGCAAAATGAATCGAACTGAAAAAGAAACGAGCCCAATTCTTCGCAAAATATTCCTTTTAAAGACTTTATTCGTAGCCTTCCAGTGGCTGGTGAACTTTTTGTCAGTTCTTGTTTTCAGGCTATGGGTCCGATATGATATCCCAATGATGTTCAGAATCTTGCTAATTAGCACTGCGTTCAATATAATGGTCATTCGAGCGTACTGGTACTTCTTGGCATTTTGGAACATTGCTAGAGGCTATGAGTTTGTTAATCAGCGGATGACTGAGCTTATTCCGATCGTAAAACCCCTCACATCTAGGGAAATAACGGAAATATATTATCTGTGGGCAATGCACGCACAACTTGGTCGGATTGCTCGACGAATTCAAAGGAAAAGTGGCCTTCAAATGCTGGCTTTGCGGTTTGACTTCTTCTTACGGAGCATAATCAATGGTTTCCATTGCTTCATTTTCGTAGTTCATGATCCGAACTCGGTTCCTCAAGCTGTTAAATATTATGTAACCTTCACATGGTGTATGCGCTGCTTGGGAAGTTTCCTAAACGATTATCTTATCGAATTGACAACTGAATATCAAAGTAAGGCCAAGGACTCAATAGTCGAGGGAAATATGACCAAGGAGGTACTTCTTGTTTTATTCATTAAAAACAGTAACTCTAATATATATATAATTTACAGCTAAGTGCTTATATCATTTACGAAAGGAGCATGGATGTGAATTTAAAGTTATGTGGACTCTACACGCCTAATCGCAACAAGTTCCTCCGAATGTCTGAAGGCATTCTTTGTTTTTTTATACTCCTACTGCAGTTTCTTCTGACTTCGAACAATTAATTAATATATCTACTGAATATCTTGCTTTTTCTCTTTAACTCACGTTACTTTTAATGCATTCTCAAAGAGAGAGATATTAAACAAAATATTATTAATGCCTATTTAACAGTATTTGTTGGTAAAAAATGGTACTTGTAATAACATATTCGTCCTTGAAACCTTTTTTTTTGCATAGAGAAAGTTCTGTCGTTTTCAACTGTCTTAAAAATGTTCTTTAAAATTGAACGAACTTTTTCAAAGTGAACATTTTTTAATGTACAATGTTTATCTCAACAACTAATGGCTTAGTCCAGTCAGTAGTATAAATTTATTAAAAAGTTGTTGAAATCGAGAACGTTCAACCCAAACAAAGAAGAATTGAGCTTGCATGGTTTTTAAGAACGAATGTGCTTGAATAATTCTCTCTGTGTGTTCACTTAAGATTATTACCAGATAGAAGTGTCATGCTCTACTTAAAAGACGCTTTTCAGTCCTAGGCCCTAAGCTTGTCATGATTGTGTCCGAAGATATTTTCAGATACTTTACAAAGTCTTTTCTAGTAAGTTAGTCTAAGTTGGAAACTCGTTAAAAGTGGTCAATTTAAAAACATTAAGAATGCAGAGACTAGCTGTTATATATAACTCATACGCCCTGTTCATGGGGATTACATCTTATAGATTAAAAAATGGAAAGCTTATTCAAACTAGAGCAACGCGGATTTATGCACTGGTTGTAAATATGTTCTATTTAGCAGTTTTGCCCATTTTTTTATGGAAAGATGCCAAGTTTGTTTCAAAAAATGACTCTTTGCCTAGTTTTATTAAGATGTCGCCATTCGCTCTGCATTCCATAACCTATATTGTCATATTTATAATTTTGAGCTCGAGATATTTTTGGGAGGGGATGTTCCTGGACTCTCAGCGCCTTAACACCCAATTGAATTGCAAGATGACTCGATCTGGAGCTCGATCCGAGCTTACGGCTTCGTAGAATATTACTTATGAAGACATTTTTGATAACCTTCCTTTGGCTGGGCAACTATTTCACAGTTTTAGTTTTTTGGCTATGGATGCGTTATGATATTGCACTGCTGCTTGGAGACTTAATGATTAGCAGTGGATTCAATATCATGGTCATGAGTGCATATTTCCATTTTGTGACTTTTTGGAACATTACTCGAGGCTACGAGTTTGTCAATCAGCGGATGGATGATCTTATTCCGGCCCTAAAGCCATACGTATCAAGGGACAGAAAGGAAATATATCATCTATGGGCACTGCACTCGCATCTTAGCAGGTTTGCCCAGCGATTCCAAAGGATGTGTGGCCTTCCAATGCTGGCTATGCGAATGGAGTACTTTTTGCAGACCATTCTTCATGGCTTTCACAGTTTCATTTTCTTAAATTATGATAAGAACCCGACTCCTGCATTTGTTAAATATTGTGTTGGCATCGTATGCTGTATGCGCACTTTGGAATGGTTCCTAAACGATTACCTTTTCGAACTGACAAGTGAGTATCAAAGCATGTCCAAGGATACAGTCATCGAAGGGATTATGACCAAGGAGGTACTTCTTCCTTTACACTTTAAAGTAGAAAATCTATAATTATATCTTACCTTACAGCTAGGTGCTTATATCATTTACAAAAGGAGCATGCAGCTGGATTTAAAATTATGCGGACTGTACACGGCAAATCGAAATCACTTCCTCAAAATGTCTGAAGGCATTCTTTCTTTCTTTATACTCTTGCTGCAGTTTCTTCTCATTCATTATAACTATCTTGTATAACGTTATAATTTGATTAATGCAAACAATTAATATTATTTCCGCACGAGTATCTGATATCTTGTTAATATGAGCACTTTTGGTTATCAGTAAAAATGTAAAAAAAGTATTTAAACCGTATTAAACCCGATTCTCATTGGGTAAAAGTGTCTACTTGGTGTCGACTAGCAGGGTCGGTAAAGTCATGTCTTTATTAACGATAAGATCTCGGAAACTATAAAAGCAAAATAGTTCACATTTTTACACACTATATACCAATACCTATTTTCCACTATTCAATGGTAAAAAATTATACTTTTTTTCTGTGTGTACACTTAATATTATTAGCTGATAGTATCAATGCTCTATTAAAAAGTCGTTTGACAATCTTAAGTCCTCAGTTATCTTGTTGCAAATATTATTACGCTTACAATGTTTAATTGATTTCCCAGGCGGAAATGTACCATCCGCAGCTCCTTCTGATTCTGCTTAAGTTTCATTTGCTAATAATGTGAAGAAACAAAAGGTCTAAGGTGGTAAACTAATACAAATTTTAAGCACGAATTTTACAAAAATTACCCTTTGATGTGATCAAAAATAAAAAACTGTAAGTAACCAATTTGTTCCTGAAACTATTTCTTTCTCTGTATTCACTTAAGATTATTACCAGATAGAAGTGTCATGCTCTACTTAAAAGACGTTTTTCAGTCCTATAGGACCTTAGGCTGTCATGATTGTGTCCGAAGATATTTTCAGATACTTTACAATGTCCGTTCTAGTAAGTTAGTATACGTTAGAAATTCGTTAAAAGTGGTCATTTTAAAAACATTAAGAATGCAGAGATTAGCTGTCATATTCAACTCATACGCCCTGCTCATCGGGATAACATCCCATCGATTGGTGAACGGAAAGCTTCTTCAAACTAGAGCAACGCGGATTTATGCACTGGTTGCCAATATAATCTATTTATCAGTTTTGCCCATTTTTTTATGGAAAGATGCCGAGCTTATTTCAGCAAATGACATTTGTTTATTTATTTACATTTATTAAGATGTCGCCATACGCCTTGCATTTTGTGACCTATATCGTCATATTCATCATTTTGAGCTCGAGATGTTTATGGGAAAGAGTTTTGTTGGACTCTCAGCGCCTAAACATCCAGTTGAATCGCAAGATGACTCGATCTGGAAAATGTACGAGCTCAAGGCTTCGCAGAATATTACTTTTAAAGACATTTTTGCTTGCCTTTCTATGTCTGGGCAACTATATCACAATTTTGGTTTTCTGGCTGTGGGCCCGTTACGATACGTCAATGTTGTTTGGAGACTGGCTAATCGGTTGCGGATTCAATATGTTGGTCATGAGTGCGTACTTGCACTTTGTGACTTTTTGGAACCTGGCTCGAGGCTATGAGTTTGTCAACCAGCGGATGGATGATCTTATTCCGGCCCTAAAGCCACACACATCACTGGAAAAAAAGGAAATATACCATCTATGGGCATTGCATTTGCAGCTTGGCAGGATTGCACAAAGGTTGCTAAAGATATGTGGCCTTCAAATGCTGGCTTTGCGATTGAACTTCTTTTTATGGAGCATCATCCATGGTTTCCATTGTTTGATTTTCTTAAATTATGATGAGAACTCGACACCTGCATATGTTAAATATTATGTAAGCATCATATGCTGTATACGCAGTGTGGGATTTTTTCTAAGCGATTACCTTATCGAATTGACAAGTAAATATCAGAGTAAACCCAAGGATAAAATCACCGAAGGAATTATGACCAAGGAGGTATTTCCTTCTGTACATATTAAAAAATGAATCTATAGTTAAATGCTTTTTACAGTTAAGTGCCTATATCGTTTACGAAAGGAGCATGAAACTGGATCTAAAAATATGTGGACTCTACATCGCAAATCGAAAACAATTCCTTAGAATGTCTGAAGGAATTCTTTGTTTCTTTATACTCTTGCTGCAGTTTCTTCTAATTCTTTATAACTAACTTGTGTACTGTAATTAATTTGATTTATGATAAAATCAATGTAATTTTGCACCACTATCAGATATCTTGTTAATATGTGCACTTCCGTTTATTATCAAAAAAAGATGTGAAAAAATTTGTACAAGTCAATCCAACTATACCAAAAAATTAATAGGTACCTTAATCATTCCAATATTTTCCTTAGGTCCATCCATACCATTCCTTAAGTCTAAGTGTATTCACAGCATACCTTAACTGTGACCCACTGAATATAGCCTCCAATATCTATTTTACAGTGCAATTTTTTTCTGTGTATTCACTTAAGATTATTACCAGATAGAAGTGTCATAAAAGTCTTAACACCTAAGATGGTCATGATTGTGCCCAAAATGACTGCACAGTTACTTTCAGTTTCAATTTAAGAGGATTAGTACGTTTTCACACTTTACAAGTCCGTTTTAGTCAGATAGTCTAAGTTGAAAACTCGTCAATAGTGGTTATTTTAAAAACAATAAGAATGCAAGGACTTGCTGTCATATATAACTTAGACGCCCTGCTCATCGGCATGACGTCCTACAGATTAGTGAATGGAAAGCTTCATCAAACTAGAGTAACGAGGATTTATGCATTGGTTGCTAATATAATCTACTTAGCAGTAATGCCAATTTTTTTATGGAATGATGCCAAGCTTATATCAGGAAATGACACAATGCCTAAACTTATAAGGAAATCGCCTTTTGCTTTGCATTTAGTGACCTATGTCGTCGTATTTATCATTTTGATCTCGAGATGTTATGGGGAAGAGGAGTTGTTGGACTTTCAGCGCTTAAACAACCAATTGAACCGCAAAATAAATCGATCTGGAATAGAAACCAGCTCAATTCTGCGCAGAATATTCCTTCTTAAGACATTTTTCATAGCTTTCCAATGGCTAGTCAACTTGTTGTCAATTATCGTTTTTTGGCTATGGGTCGGTGATGATATCCCACGGATGTTCGGAAACTTGCTAATTAGCACTGCGTTCAATATAATGATCATCCGGGCGTACTTGAACTTTTTGATAGTTTGGAACATAGCTAGAGGCTTTGAGTTTGTTAATCAGCGCATGGATGGGCTTTTTCCAACCCTAAAACCACACACATCAAAGGAAAAAAAAGAAATATATCATCTGTGGGCAATGCACGCTCAATTTGGACGGATTGCTCGACGAATTCAAAGGAAAAGTGGTCTTCAAATGTTGGCTATGCGGTTCGACTTCTTCTTACGGAGCATAGTCCATGGTTTCCACAGCTTGATTTTCTTAATTAATGATGAGAGCTCGGTTCCTCAAGCTGTTAAATATTATGTAGCCTTCATATGGTGTATGCGCAGTTTGGGATATTTCCTTTACGATTACATTGTCGAATTGGCAACTGATTATCAGAGTGAACCCAAGGACTCAATCGTCGAGGGAATTATGACCAAGGAGGTAGTTCTTCTTTTATTTTCTATAAATAATAATTCTAATCTATATGTCAATTACAGCTAAGTGCTTACATCATTTACGAAAGGAGCATGACACGGAATTTAAAGTTGTGCGGACTTTATAGGCTTAATCGAAAGAGCTATCTCAGAATGCTTGAAGGAGTTCTTTCTTTTTTTATACTCTTTCTGCAGTTCCTTATGGTTTTAAATAATTAACTGTTGTATTGTAGTTAATTTGATTAATGCTAACAATCAATATCATTTCCGCACCGTTATCTGATATCTTGTTAATATAGGCACTTCCGTTTATTAGTAAAAGCAAGTGACATCAGTCGCGTTATTAAACTGGTTCAGAAAGGACGTGGTCATGCTTTATCCGTTGGTGAAAATATATTTCGAGTATTCGCTGGTAATTGGCATTACCTCACAACGACTGGCGAATCGAAAGTTCCAAAGTTCACTATTTTCCCGTGTTTATGCTTTAGTGGCAAATATCATTACGCTTACAATGCTGCCCATAGCTATGTGGCAGGTTCGATTGGTTTTCCAGGCGAGAATGAAATATCCGCAGCTCATTCTGATTACCTATAATGTGCGGTATCTGGTCTCCTATGCGGTTATATTATATACGGTCCTATCGCGGGGATTTCGAGATACAGCGTTTAAGGAAATGCAACATTTGCTGCAGAGATTACTTGCAGAGGAAAAGCGAGGTGCTGGGATAGGATGCGCTAGGAAATCTTTAAAGGTTCTCCTATGCGTCAAGTTCTTTACAGTAACGTGGTTGTGCCTCACGGAAGGCATATTTCTATTCTATTCCCTCGATGTTACTAGCTGGAAAAGTATAGCCAAATACATTTTCATGACCAATGCCTGGAATATACTGCAAATGGTGCCAATGGGTTATTTTCTCGCTATGTGGCACATTGCTCGAGGCTTTGATTATGTGAATAAGCGCATGGAAAAAATTATAAGGTCAAGATCTTCTAGACATTTGGAGGAGATGCAGAAACTATGGTTACTTCATGCCGGCCTCACCAAAACAGCGCTACGAATAAATAAGATCTATGGCCCCCAGGTGCTGGCTTCCCGATTTGATAACTTTATAATTGGAGTAGTGCAAGCCTATTGGGGAACCTTTTTCAGCTTCGGTATGTCCACACCTATTTATTGGCTGGTCTACGGAAGTGTTCAATATCAAATTCGATCACTGGACTATTATCTCATCGATTACGTGGCCGATTTGGTGGTGGAGTATCAGGGTTCGGCCAAGCATGCTTGGAGTGAATTTCGCTGGACGAAAGAGGTATTTAAATTGTATTTCAATTCCATTAAAAATGTTCATCAATTTCCTACAATCTAGATAAGTTCCTTTTCGATCTACGCCAATAGTTCGAAGCTACAACTCTGGACCTGCGGACTTTTTCAAGTGAATCGAAGCATGTGGTTCGATATGATAAGCAGCATTTTGTATTATATTTTAGTGCTACTGCAGTTTCATTTTGTTATGGAGAAATAATTTGATTATATATGAAGGCATTCTATGTTTCTTTATACTCTTGCTGCAGTTCCTTCTAGATTGGAGTTATGAGCTTGTAGCCTGTAATTAATTTGGTTAATGACAACTATCGGTATCATTTCCGCATCACTATCTGAAATCGTATTAATATTGATATTAAAACTTCCGCTTATTAGTAAAGCGAATGGCATCAGTCGCGTTTTTTGACTGGTTTAGAAGGGTCGTGGTCCGTTGGTGAAAACATATTTCGGCTATTGTTGCTAATAGTAACGTTTGGTTAACCGAAGGTTCCAGAGTACAATTTTTTCCCGGGCTTATGCTCTAGTGGCGAATATCGTAACACTTACAATGCTGCCCATCGTTATGTGGCAAGCTCGATTGACTTTCCAGGCGAAAATGCGCTATACACAGCTCATTTTGATAACCTATAATGTGCGGTATCTGGTGTCCTATGCGGTTATACTGTATACGGTCCTTTCGCGAGGTTTCCGAGATACAGCATTTAAGGAAATGCAACCTTTGCTGCTGCAATTACTAAAGGAGGAAAAGCGAGGTGGAGGAATAGAAAGCGCAAGGAGATCCCTGATGATTCTTATATGTATCAAGTTCTTCCCCGTATCGTGGTTGTGCCTCACCGAAACTGTATTCTTGTTCTATTCCCTTGATGTTAATAGCTGGATGAGCATAGCGAAATATATTTTCATGACCAATGCATGGAATATGCTGGAAATGGTGCCAATGGGCTATTTTCTCGCCATGTGGCACATTGCCCGTGGCTTTGATTATGTGAATAAGCGCTTGGATAAGATTATAAAATCAAGATCTTCTAGAAACTTGAAGGAGCTGCAGCATCTCTGGTTACTTCATGTCCGGCTCAGCAAAACAGCGATAGAAATAAACAAGATCTATGGCCCCCAGATGTTGGCATCGCGCTTCGATAACTTTATAATTGGCGTAGTCCAAGCCTATTGGGGAGCCTTTTTTACCTTACGGGTATCCACACCTGTTTATTGGCTGGTCTACGGATGTGTTCAATATCAAATTCGATCACTGGACTACTACCTCAACGATTACCTGGCCGATTTGGTTGTGAAGTATCAGGCTTTGGCAAAGCATTCCTGGAGTGAAGTTCGCTGGACGAAAGAGGTATTAGAAATTTTAGTGTTTTAAATATGCTCATCAATTTCCTTCAATTTAGACGAGTTCCTATGTGACCTACGTCAATAGTTTGAAGCTACAACTCTGGACTTGTGGACTTTTTCAAGTGGATCGAAGCATGTGGTTTAACATGATGACCAGCATCTGGTATTACATATTAGTGCTACTGCAGTTTCATTTTGTTATGGAGAAATAAATATTTTAGTTTATAAATATTTTTACAATACAGATACGATAATATCGACGCTTTCAAGGAAAAACTCGTTTTATGTATTGAGAATTAGAAAACTGTTGATTTTCTTTCAAGCACCATCTTATATAAGCAATAAAGAATGTATAAATATATCGTTGCATACTTTTAAACACCCTTTTCTGAAGATATTAAACTGTTTGTGTTCAAAATTGTTCAAAAAAATGTTTCAATGGCTGAACCTAGCAAATATCGATAGCAGATTGATTTTGCGTAATCTGACGCTCAAATACCCCCAAACTATTGTGATTTCCTAATCATTTTCTGCCAAGAAATAATTGTAACAATTTGAACCCTCACGTTTGAAACGCCTACGGGCAACAATGTGAGCAATATAGCAGCACAAAACGTTCCGTTCGGCAGGAGCCAATAATTTCCTATTCGATAATTTCCAAATGAATGCGTTCAGCAAATAAATTCAGCTTTGACAGCATTCGCAGTTGAAATTTAAAACGAAATCACGTTTTGCTGTTGCATACTTTTTGGCGTATGCACATCTGCTTCTACGTTGTACGTGATGAAAGTTGTGTCATAAACACAGGCACACAACTTAGCTGGAAAATGCTGGAAATGGCAGCAGGTGAAAAAAGGGGGAGCGATACTGGAGTTAAGGGAGGCATAAATAAAATGAAATAAAATAAATCAAAGCATAATTTTCGCAATAAATTCGTTTTCGTTTCTACCAAAAACGCTGAATGCAAATCTAATTCCTTTTGCCAGGCCAAACGTGTATCGAACTTTTGCACTGTTCCGTTTTGCGGTGTCTGAAATTTATAGGCTCTTTCCCTTACAATCGGCTTATAGTCAATCCATTTTTTTTTGAAAATAAATACTTTGAATCGGAATTTAAATCAATTAAGTAACAGTGTTTGCATATATTTCTGAAAAATGGAAATGTTTCTGTATGAACTAGGGAAATTAAACACTTTGCATGGATTTTATTATATTTGACCCGTGCAATTTTGGTTATGAATGATTTGATAAACAAGTTATCATTATTGAACACTTTGTAAGCTGTGAAGGGCATAAATAAAATGTCGGTTGTTGTAAAAATTATTAATATTCTTATTTTTCTAGAAAAACCACTCAAAATATTCAACTTATCACTAAAGGAATCTATTAATAAATTGATTTATTTTGTTTCTATAAACTTTGCCTTTTTGGTTTATTATATACACAAAAGGATGTATGTTTTTAAAACAGGTCCTTAAAGTGTCATCATATATTTTAAACCAGAATGACGATATTTCATAATAAACTACATCAAATAGAGATGATTTCTGTCGGCAATCGGTTCTGTAAATATATATATTAACATGATTTGAATTCGCATCGGGGCACGTCAACACAATTATGTTGGATAACAAGAGCCAAGATTTATTATGCCCGATTCGAGGAGCAAACTTATAGTACATGCATATATACGCACGTAACGGATGCGTCGGCTGTACGCCCATTGACGTTGGGTTGGTGGGCGTGTCCCGTCGCTTGACAATTGTCAAAATCGTCGCCATAACTCACGTGTTGCCAGCAGCAGAAACAAATGCATGTGGAACGGGGGTGGGAATTCACGGGGCATCGACAATTTCAATTGAAGCTGATTTGCTCAAAATGCAAATTACGCAATGATTTACATTCTGATTGACATATTTTAGGCGAACAGTTTGCACTTCATTCCCGCCCTTTCACTCGTCCTCCCCTCCCCCGAAAAGCCTTGGATCCGCCCTTTACGTGTTGCTGAAAAGAATCCTTGATTTGCCATTGCCATTTCCAGACCGACGTAAATTGGCTGGGATCAGAGAGTTCTTTGATTTTTGGGACAAAAAAAAATCCAGAGAATGTCCCTCATTGATTCTTTTAAAAAGAGTTATTCAGGAAAATATACAACATTTTAGAGATTTTAGATCACATCAAATCATTGAAAGTTAATAGATTACAAAATATCATAGTTTTATAGTTCATTATAGGTACTAAATATCTGCATTAAGCATTCTAAATATTGTATGTTATATTTATATATAATTGTTGCTGGCATTAGATTAAAGACAACACACTTAAACAAATAGTAAAAAATAATATTGTATTATAATGAATCTTAAAAATTAGTTAAAATATTTGAATGAATAAAAAATATATGAATATATTAATTTTTTGTCAGTGCATAATTATTATTAATTTTTTTGTCCAAACCGGTTTGATTTTATAATTTTAGGTTTGACAAATAAAATAAATTGATGACGTTTCTTTGCCGAAATTTAAAATTTAGTAATTTTTTTGACTTTAATAGAGAAACCCCGAACTCTTATCGCAGATAGTGCAATAAAAATCTTATTTATATGGAGCATCCGACTGTGTCATTACTCACACAACTGACGGGCACATATCTCTGTCCCGGTGAGGTCTTGTGGTCATCATTACTCTGGCTTTGCCATTGCGCTGGACGGGCATCATAAAATTGCTGAGAGGACATAAACGCGTTATTATATTATGCCTTTGAATGCCCATGACTTGCAGGCCCCAAAGCCCCAATGAATGGAGGCCAAAGGACGATGATGGGAAGACGGAGCAGGCAGGATGCACGGGGCATTGTGCAGTGGCCACACGACACCGAGGACATACACAGGACTCGCAGGACACACAGCTCACACAGAGGACACAATGGATGAACATCAATGCCAGAGCCGCGACATTGAATGGCTAGAGGCAGGAGCAACAGGACCAAAAGCTGGCGAAAGGAGAAGGAGCTGGACCAAAACCCGCGTCCATCAATGCAACTTTGAGTCAACGTCAACAGGCAAAGAAGCTATTCAGCTTAACTTGCATTCTCTGGCCTTTTCCATTCAGCCGGAGGGTATAAATTTAAAAAATAACAATATGGGAGATGTCCTCCAGATGTGTGCGACCGAAAAGTCAGAAGAGACTAAGGACTGAGGACTCCAGATGCCAGGGAAAAGTTTTTAATGATGCCGCAAAGTCGTTGAACCAAGTTCGATGCACATCCAGTGGATTTGACCTGACTTTGGCATCCTTGTTGTTGGATTAGGACGAGGGCTTCTGCATTGATTTACTCGAGGCTCAGGCGAATGTAAGCCACAGCTGTGCCAAGTCCAAATTTTTGGCCAAGTGAAAGTTATTTTCGGGCTGCAAAGTTTCTGCATTTTTGGAAAAAAAAATGTTTGAATTTGCCTTGCATCGAAAATTTTAATGGAAAAGATAAATCTGTATGGAGACAAATTGTTTGGGTTAATCTAATCTGAAGGATGGGCCTATCATATATATTTTTTTCTACCTAAAACAATATCCTAATCAATAGCCTATTCTTAATTCCTAAAATATCTATGGTATGCTGATCTTAGGGATATTATATTATAATTTGAGGTAATTTTGTATTGTGAGTGCCATAAAAAAACTATGGATTTTTAATAACGTTTTAGAATTATATGTGAATTGAATTTTGGGGCTTTGGAAAGGTATAGGTCCAACAACTTACAATCAAAAAAGAGAGAACACATAAAAACACATATTTTAAGGTCACAATAGTATAGAATTTGGTTTATTAAATAGTTTTAAGAATATTTTGTTCGACAGGACTTTTTATCTGCCGAAACCGTAACCGCCGGCGGAGGCCGAGGAAGAGGCGGAGGCACTAGCACCACCGAATCCGCCGCCGTTGAAGCCTCCGTATCCGGGATAACCGCCCCGGTATCCACCATAGCCGCCGGGAAATCCTCCTCCGAATCCCCCGTAGCCAGGATATCCGCCTCCGAAGCCACCGTAGCCAAACTGGGGGGCGGGCACAGCCTCCAGGACACTGAGGAGTGCGAAAATCACAACGACGAAAACGACGACAGCACGCATCTTCAACTTGGCTTGTTCACTTTAGATCTTAACGTTCGAGACTGTTGAGCGATTTCGCTTTGGCGGCCTATTATATAAACAGATTCCAACCACTTGGTTCAACAACCTGCTCGTCTGGTTCTGGAGGCGTCATTTCCATACTCTCCAATTAATCGATCCCCTCGAAAATGACACAATTCACAGCGAATGGCGAATGGCGAAAACAAAATATGTCAGATGACCATCCCCTCAAGGGGCAGACCAGTTTTGGAGTTTGGGGTTAACCTTTCCGCAAACTCACGCGTCTTTTGTGGGATTTTGGGAATCACTCTGTCGCTGCCGCGTATTAGCATAATATAAAATACAAACAAAAGCTGTATGGCCATAATTATAGGTATAAAATTTCGCCGGGCTTTGCTTTTTTCGGTTATCACATTCGCTTAGTCACACACACTTTGTATTTGATTTAATATGCATTATGCTAATCAAGCCTGTCATTAATGGGTTTTCTATTGGACATTCGATATCGCCGAAAATAAAATGTTTTTCACCTCATTTCTTTTGTTTTTATTATTTTTAATTTGTTTATGCCTTAGGGAATAATTTTAATGAGCCGGTTGTTTTTTAGATAACTGCGTTCTTAAATATATTTTTCGCTTGCCCAAAGGTATTCTATTTATTTTATTATCGATTCCCCGACTTTTATAATGATTTAAAACTATTTGTTGATGTAAACCAATTAATTTGTAATTACAATTTAAATATTTAAGAGGTCTTGGTCAAGTCAATAACCTGACCTTGGATTATAGTAAATGTTTGTCATGAGGTTTTTGTAAACAATCTTTTGTTGTTTCCAAATCTGTTCCCATTTGGACTTCGACTTCAATCCGGTTCTGAAGATCAGTTCTGGCTAGCAGGTCACATTGCCGTGAATCGGAAATTCATAAAATAGACGACTAAAACCAGACAGCATAGAAAACAAGACTGAAAAGTTATTCAAAATTTCTGTTGTGAACGAACCGCGAGAGATGTCGTTGGGCAGTGCATTTCAAACGCTCTGCGGGGCGCTCTTCGAGGACTCCATGACCCTCGTCTGCTCGGCCGTGGTACCGGAATCGCTGACCAAGAAATACCGCAATCGGATGATCAGCCCCCGGGATCCGTACAGCATCTATCAGCTGGATAGTATCAATAGCAGCTATCTGCTCGTCTTTCATTTCGAGGATATGCCCGATTGCCGTACCATCCAGCTGACCGATATGCATAATCTCAATTGCACGAGTCATACGGGTGAGGAGAAGAACTTGTATTTCGGCTATAGCCATCGGATGTGCTATAACTATACCTTGGATCTGACCACGGAACTCAAGCATCACTGCGGAGCCAGGGGATATGAGGAGAATATGCAATCGGGATATTATTACACCAATCACGATCCGAACCCCGATATTAGGAGTGATGTGAGCGGTGGTAGTCTCCTGGGATCGCCAACACTCGTAATATGCCTGATAGTATCGCTCTTATTAATCGCATTACTGCACTGGAAGACATCTCGTCTATAAGGCAGGCATATCGGATATTTTTCGAGTTTCAAGTCAAAAACATCCCCTGGAAAAATGAAGTGCAAGTATTCTCTTCTCCCCGAAAACTGCAAGCGAATAGTCGATAAGGAGTGGGGCTTGATCTGCAACGGCGATTATCCCGAGGATGCACACATCCGTTTCAAAGGATCGTTATACGCTATCGGTGATCCCTATACGGTTTTCAGACCCCTTGGCGAAGACTCCACAGATCTGATGATCGTAGTTGGTAGCGACGATTTGGCGTTCTGCCAACGGCTATTCGTGATGGGCATAAATCTGTTTCAATGCATCGGTGAGGACGAATTGGTCAGGATAGTCGAGACGAATCATAGCCATGTGGTCTGCATGGATTTCTTTTTTCGCATGGCTCATGAACTGGAAATGGCCTGCCATTCCGGAAAAGTGGAGGAAAATGCATTTACCGCCTTGTATTTTCCAAATGTCCAAGAGAAACTGGCGACCAAAAGCGCAGGCTTCACAATCGGTTTCGATATGGTTCTACTACTTCTCTCGATTCTTCTGGCGATCCTTCTTTTTCTACGTTGGCGATTGTCATAATTCTACATTTGTTCGATCAGGTCGTTCTGACAGGCTTCGCCTGTGCTGTAATTGTCGTAAAATTGTCCGAAATTATTTGTATAGGTCTCCGAAATGTTCCGAGATTTAAAAACAATATTTTATAATTTTATTCTAAAGAATTGTTTCTACATCTCTGGAACATTTCCAGCGGTACCAAAAAATATATATTGTATGTCTTGTAACTGTTATTCTTTTATTTCTTTAAAGTGATTTTCCAAACAATATCTTGAATATATTCTTTCTCAGTTTTAATTCCCCGACAGCTCTTCATCCTTCTCGATTTCATTGGCGCCCCCTTTTTTATGATCCATGTGATGTATCCATCATGATGTGACATATTTTGACAGTGCTTAAACCTAGAATCGCTGACATTACACAAATCTTTCGCCTGTGTCGGCATGGAACTTAAGAAGCTGTCACCGGGATCTCCCCGCTTTTATCCATCCATGATCGCATCGCATTTCCCTTTCATCTGACAATGTTGGCCGTGTCATCTGCTTCATGGCACATATAGTGCATATATAGTATAGTGTGTGGGGTGTGTTTGGTACGCATCTGTGCGGGGCCCTCGTTCATTAGGTCTCTTATAAATAATTGCTTTTTAACAGAGGCAGAAATTATCACCTAATTATAGAGCCTGACACGGGGGATTCCAACTGTCGCTCTTTTTTACGCATTCAGTGAGTGAATATTTTGCTGTGTCTATTAATTAACTATTGCAAATTGAGTTTTAATTAAATTAGTATTATTAATTTAAGGCAATTATTTATCAAACAGTTGTCTATTGTATTAAAAAAATTTGTATGTCAATGAAAATGGTTAACATTTGTCGCAGATTAACTTTAATACAAAACTAAAATATTTAATTTGAGTGAGTTAATTAATCAAATACATATTCACATTGATTTTTTTTATCATTTAAAAGAACTTTTCTTAATTTATGTTCTACTAGTCAGGGTATAAATATTTTTTGTGTGCTTGATTAAGAATCTGAATTATTTCTTAACCTGCATAAGTATATTTTCTCTAATTTGTTTTGCAAAATGATGAAAGCATGCCATTGACTAATATAAACTGTCCAATTCAGGTACTCTCTCTTCAGGTGAGTGTTTGAACATCCTTTCAAAGGGATAATACAGAACACCATCCCATAACTCACCATTTCGCTCGCATAAGGACCTCGTTTGCTCTGGCATTTCCGTTTGCCATTTGATTTGACAGGACTCCGTGTGTATGTCTCCCGTTGCTTGGCCCATAAATTTGTATTTCCTATTCGAGGAGGACTTCTGCAACATGTTCGCCTGTCAGCAAAATGTCGTCCTGCTACCGGCAAACAATTTGCCGCATCGCAAAAAAAAAAGAAAAAAAAGGACAAAACGCATTTTTTCATTGCTGCCATCGTTCTGCTTTTCAAACATTATTGCAATTTCGTAAATATTGTAAAAATGTTTTACGCTCGGAGCGCCAACGCTTTATGCAAATTAGCTGCACAAACCGTTCCACATTCCGAATGTTAATTTCCATTTCGCATTTCGTCCTGCTGCTCAGCTTTCTCTGTCATGTTTGGCCTGCGGATAAAAGGGAATTTATATTTGCATTTAAATATATTACATACTTGTTAACCTCCCTGCTACTAGAGTGGATCCCCGGTTATAACTGGGATATGGGATATAGGATAGGGGATATGGGTTCTGGAATCGGGGATCTCGGGATCTGGGGAATGCTCTTTTGCGGCTCCTTCTCCCTTGACTTTTGGGAATGCGTTTGAGTGCTCTGTAGTGCACATTCTATTGTGCTTCGAATGGCAATCTGTACTTTTAATTGCCATGGAAAACCGAGATTTCCACAATCTTAATCTACTTTGATTGCGGCTTCGCCTTGCCAACGTTTGCGGCTAGGCAAAAGTTTTCCCGCACTCTGTTTGCTTTCGAGTGTTTATTTATGCGCCTCCCCCGCTCGTTTGTTTATTTGTTTTGACTTTAATTAAGTTTTATTATACAAATTAACACATGCGGGTGAAATAGCACATACGAGTATGTTGGAACCCTCGAGCTGCTTTGCCTGTGAGTGTGTGGGAAATATGAATTTTTAATTAAATCATATTACTAAGTCAATAATTAAATAAACCATATCATATTCATACGCCAGAGTGACAGTTTAATAAATGGAAAACTTTGACATATCAGGAAGGAGCTAATTGCTTCTTGCTCACAAGATGATGGGTTCAATTAAAGGTGTTATCTATGGAAGGAAGGAGTAAAATATTTTTAATTGTTTTAATACAATTTGCCAATTAACCTATAGCTTACCCTATACCAAAAAGTCTTTATTAAGGTAAGTGGTCATAATAAAATTAAAAACCAAAATAAAATATATTTTTAAAAACTATATAACTATAGTTATAATAAATAGACCAAAATAATAAAGTCCATAATAGATTTTTTACAATAGGTAAATCAGAATAAACATATGTTTTTTAAAATAAATACAAATTAGGTATACGAGTCTTAAATCAAAATATTTATTTAAATAAAAATATATATTGTTTTAATACAAGAATTTTTTTAATATTTATTCACCTTTAAATCATTAAACTCACATAATAAATAATACATTTCCCCTATTCCCCAATCTAATAAAAACCCCCTTTTTGTAGTCTTAGAAAATGTTATTTATTGGGAGCTTCCTTCAGTGCGTGTCACATCTGTGTGGGTATCGTATAAATATAAATATTAGTCAGGTAGGCGAATAGGTTAGACTTAATACACTTTTAAGCATTAATGCAATTTGGCTAATTGAAATACATATGCATGAAGTAACCTCTGGGGGCCCATTAAAGCAGCAGCTAGCCCTCGTCATCAAAGCGGCGGATAGGCGTTCTTCGCATAGTTGGCCGCCACACAGTAGTTTGTGGCCCCGAAGAAGGAGCAGACCCCGCTGTTGGACGACGGATTCGCAGTGAATCCTCCATAGCAGTTCGTATAATTTTGGCACGAACGCAGCTCCAGAGGCCCAAAATTTAGGGCATACGCCCCGGGGGGCGGCGGTGGCGGTGGGTGGGGCAGATTGGCATATTTGTGCATATTATTGCTAATGGGCGCCGGCACCAGCTGAGGAGCAGCATCCAGCAGAGGCCTCGAACCGACGCTCCTCTCGTTTCGCCGGAATTTCGCCCGCCGATTCTGAAACCAAACCTGAAACATGCGTCCAAGTAATTGATAAAGGAATGAATGGGCGAAAATAGCTGGACCTTAGATTGGGTTTAACTATGCAAACAGCGCTTGAGCTTGTGCAATAATTCCTTTAATGATTTAGGTAAAATCTCCTTAAGGTTTTACCTTTTTATCATTCATTAGAAAATTCATTTAATATTCAAGTAATGCGATTTTGTCTTTTCATTTGATACATTAGAATGTGGTTTATTTATTCAGCTGTGTATTTACCTCAATTATTTCTGTTGTAAATTGAGTTAATAAGCAGAGGGAAAAATAATTATTCCACGGATATTCGAGAAAATAACAAAAACAACCAATGGCCTGAGCAGCTTAGCCATGTCGGAATACATTTTTGGTAAATTTGTAATATTTGCATATTTTATAATAACACTGTGCAGCATTTTTAGTGCTTTTTAAATTTACCTCGATGGATGCTATATTTTTGGATTCGTTACGAATTCCCAAGTTAAACTGCGTTTTCAAAAAAGTTCCCCGACGCAAGGGTTCTTAGCAAAAGGACCTCAAAGTTCGAAAAATTCTGAAATTGGCCAACTTTGCGGAGCTCTCAGAGGCAAATGGATGCATGGTTTGATTCGATGTTAAAGTTTTTTAAAAGATACAACCTTTATCTTTTAAACCCCATACTTAAAAAATTTTTAAGATTATTTTTGAGGCAGAAACAAATTCTAGAAAACATAGTCAAAAAACATAAAAGTATACAGCAGCGGTCAAAATGGTAGTAGTGTTGCCGCCCTGTGTATTTAAAAGTTTGTTGTTGTAATTGATTTTTTCCTGGTAATATTGTATAGATTATAATTTTACTATTAGACTAATTGGATAAGAAAAAATTACAACATCAAACTTTAAAAAACACAAGGCGGCAACACTGCTACTATTTTGACCGCAGCTGTATGTTTTTCAGTTTTTTGACTATGTTTTTTTGAATTTATTTCTGCCTTAAAAAAAATCCTAAAATTATTTTATGTATGGGGTTTGAAAGATAAAGGATGTATCTTTTAAAAAACTTTAACTTCGAACCAAGCCATGCATCCATTTGCCTCTGAGAGCTCCGCAAAGGTGGTCAATTTCAGCATTTTTCGAACTTTGAGGTCCTTTTGCTAAGAATCCTTGCGTCGGGGAACTCTTTGGAAAACGCAGTTTAATTTGGGAATTCGTAACGAATCCAAAAATATAGCATTCATCGAGGTTAATTTTTGATGCTGCATAGTGTAATCAATGTAATTCTGTATAAGATGTAATTTTCAATAGTTTTTTTTTATAAAGTGCAAAACTAACAGTTTAATTTATTTTTAGAGTGATTCAATACCTAATAATTAATATTATATTTAATCCGTGTTCAATTATTATAAAAACAAGACAACAATTAAGTGCCTGTCTTGCATTTATTGTTTTCTCCATTAATTAATTTTAAATGCGATTTATTGTAATTAAAAACCCACCTGAACTCTGGCCTCGCTGAGATGCACCTTGGTGGCCAGCTCCTCGCGAACAAAGGCGTCCGGATAGTGGGTCCTCTCGAAAACCTTCTCCAAGGCGGTTAGCTGGGCGGAGCTGAAGGTGGTGCGATTGCGGCGCGGCTTCCTCGAGTGGCCAACTGGGAGATTTCCGGAGCAGCCAGCTCCACTGCCACCTCCACTTCCTCCTGCAATCAGGGAGCCATTAAATTGGGAATTTTCACTTTTACTTTTGGGTTTCTAGCTTAAGGGGGCGAATGCAAAATCTCTTTGACGGACAGTGGCTGGAAAAACGGGGAAAAACAGGGGGAACCAGCTCGTAAATAATCGATAAGAGCCAACGGATATCAATTAATTTGGCAGCCAGCTAAGAATTTTCGTTACTTTTATGGGTTGTCGTGAACACATAAAATTTTGCATTCCGTTTGATCCTTCGGCTTGGTCTTCAAAGGGGGAGGGATGTGGGGGTCGGCATGAGGGTCATAAACAAATGGCATCAACCATAAAATATCTTTTGACGACATCGGCGGACAGCTGTCTACTAATTTCGTCGCCCAACAAACATGAGCTAGCACATTTACGATCTATTAATTAAAGTGAAATTGTGACATTAAGCGGTCATAAGCGAGCTCTCCGCTTCTGGCTACCCGTTAATTGATTTTCCATAGAATTTGCTTTGGAAATCGTTTTACAAAAGATTAAAGATATTTTCCTTTGAATTTTCTATTTCGGAGCTAATTGGAGAGGACACCAGGGAAAGATGTTAAACTTTAGTTAACAGCCAACGAGATTTGGGTGTTTTTCTTAAGTAATACATAATTAAATATTCCAAATAAAATCAAATGACTTTAAAATTGATACATAGATATAGTTAAAAAAGGGCTTGGACATGTGATGATACTTTTTTAAAATAAATATTTCCTTTTTAAATTCAGAAAATATCTGATTATCTTTTTTTTAATGTTCTTATTCATATTTTTTTGCGTATGCATTTCTTTTTCGATAAATTGCTTCTGAGTTCTTGTTTTCTTTCCGCTTGTTTTTGAATATCTTGGTTCTGCTTCAGGGTGGCCATTGCCGTGACTATCCCTATCTGCATCAGATATTTTCCTACCCACGCCATTTGTCTCAATTTGTCAGCCAAGCTGTCCACGAAGTTGGGAACTGCATCGTAGATCAGCTCGGAGCACTTCATATACATACGAAAAAAGTGGGAAGCCAGAGCAACTGCATCGGCAAATGATGTCCCCGGGGATTGGAAAGGCAGTTTAGGGAGTGAGTGAAGGGAAGATCTTTAATTTGAATTGCCAACGAGCGATAAAAAACAGTTGCGGCTTAATAAAAAACCAACAAATCGAAAGGGAAACCTCAATCAGATTGGATTCAGCGGCAACGGCAAGGGGTGAAGAAAGGCAAAGGAGTTACACAGGGAAAAAAATTTATAAAGATGGTTTTTTTAATTGTTACACATAGATCTTTCTTTTTCTTAATAATTATGTCACATAAATATTCTGAAATCGAATTAACAAGTATAATATTTATAGAAATATAATTGTAATTGTTTTAATTCTGATATTAGGAATACAACACTTATTGTTCTTGAAAAGCAATAAGCTTAAATACAAGTCGATATATAATACATGTATACTGCAAAGCGGTTGCAGAACGTTTAAAACATTTAAAAAAAAAATATTTTTCACTTTCTTTTAATTTTAAAATTTAAATGCTTACGGTTTTAAATAACAATAGAATCGTGTGCTACTTTTAGGGATTACTTAAATGTTGGGATTTTCTATTTGTAATTAGAATCAGGTAGTATTTATTTTTCCAGTGCTCGGATGCAGCCGACACATGTTACAATCCAATGGAGCGACGAAAATAAACGAGGGAAGAGATGGGATGGGATGGGATGGCATGGGAAGGGCAGGGAGTATAGTGCGTGCTGCGTCTGGGACTGGTTACAGTGGGACTGGCGTTTTATATGCTCCACTTGGAAATTATAGTCGTGGTAGCTACTCGCTACCTCGGATGCTTCAAAGGCATGCGGCCACTGAGGGAATATCATGTCAGCTTTGATTACGTTTTGTCATGTTGACAATGTTGAAGTGTTGTCGGCTCGGAAATGTTTCCTCCTGCCACGAAAAAAAGTAAAATAAAGGCAACTAGCGACCGGGAGCGAGAAAGGAAAAACTTTATGGCGAACTATTAGAGTCTCAGTTCTTTCGTGAGATCCTCGGTTTTTTGGCTAGGATTTCGCTGCAAATTATGCTGAGGCTGACAACCAGTAGCAATATGTTGACAGTTTCCACTCGGTGGGTTAATACAGGAAAACCGGGGGGGTTAAAGCCGCAACCGCAACAGGAAAAATGCACGGAGATGACATTGCACCGGCATTGGGAGATATGAAATGAGCGAATGTCGCCCACATCTGGCACCTAATTGTCATCCATGAGTTGCCCCACAACCCGAACACATTTATATATGCAATATATATCCCATTCCATATATACGCACTTACTTATGCATGTGTAAAGATATAGCTATGATTATGCAGTTGTGCGAATAATGTCACAAGTTCTCTTGGCTCGCATCTCGGATGAATTTATCATTTATGAATTAGGCCACAGACGCTCTCGCTAAGCCCCACAAAGTCTTGGCTCGGAATATGCTTATGTAAGTACCTCAACTACCTGAACTCCTTTGGCATTACGCATTCTGTTGCACATCTGGTAATTATGTCAATTATGAGGATTTAAAGATAAATAAACTTAAGTGTGAGCCCACTGAAGTTATTTTCAAAAGAAAATAGAAATTTTAACTACGAAACCAAAAGGCTTTAGCTATTTTTATTACCGCTTTGACGGACTCAACATTTTGTTGAAAGACAATAAATAAAAATTAAAGTAATTTAGTTTTGGTTTTAAACCCAATTAAATCGTTGAAAATAGATTTTCAAATTTGTATTTAAATATACAAAAAATGAAAAAACAATGTTATTGCTTTTTTAATAGCTTTTAAAATGAATTTAACACATTTTTTTGAAAAAAACAGGACGAATAAAACCATTTTAAAACAAGAGAGAACGCTATAGTCGGGTTCGTGTCCCGACTATCTAATACCCGTCACTCAGCTAAAGCGAGTGCGAACGCTGTGTCGGGTTGGTGTCCCGACTAATAATCGTAACGCAGCTAAAGGGAGTGCGAGGGAGATAGATATATGTTGACAATTTATAAAGCGTATAACTTTTTAATGAATGGTCCGATTTGAAAAATGTCTTCTACATTTCGATAGGTATAAATATACACAACAAAATTGCATATATACTTCTCGGAAATCTTTAAAGATGTGGGCGCAGGACCCATTTTAAAATCGTTAGTGGGCGATTGTGGGCGTTAGAGAGGGCGTGGCGCTCGGCTAAAATAAACTTGCGCTGCGTAGGAAGCCAAAGAATATGTGTGGGAAATCTCAACCTTCTAGCTTTTGTAGTTTCTGAGATCTCAGCGTTCATACAGACAGACAGACGGACAGACGGACAGACGGACATGGCTAGATCGACTCGGCTAGTGACCCTGATCAAGAATATATATACTTTATGGGGTCGGAAACGCTTCCTTTTAGCTGTTACATACTTTTGCACGAATCTAGTATACCCTTTTACTCTACGAGTAACGGGTATAAAAATAAGTTAACTGAATTAAATTTTATTTTTATTGTGATTATCACAAGCACCTCATTAATGTTAATTTCACAAAATTTATAACTACTTAAAAGTGGATTTTTGAAATTAAGTAAGGTTTTAAAATTATAAAACTATTTACACAAAGGTTGAAATTTTTTATGAACGTCCTTTTTTTGTCGTTATAATAAAATGTATTGTTTAGAACATGGGGTGATGGTACTCTTGGTTAGATTTCGTTTGTAAAATATTATTTTTTATAGTGTCTCAATTTAGAATATTTAGTAGACACTCGAACTCACCGTAGTTGTTATTGAGTTCCAAGGACATTTTGCTTTTGGCATAGGCATCGTGCTTCATTTCCATGATATTATCAACTGAGAATCTGTGCATTTTCTCCATATTTCGAGCACTCTCTTCGCGATCAATCAGTTTGTCCTCGGCCTCTGGATTGTGCGACTGTTGGTTAGAATATATCTCGCCGGAAACCGTTAGAGAGAGCGATCCCGTCGGTCCGTAGTAGAAATTTCCCGGATTGCCGACGGGCAGCGAATGCAATTGCTGCTGATAGTTTAGCATGTTTGAAAAATCCGTCGTAATTTATTTCAAATAATAGTTTGAACTATTAACCGTTGATAATTGGTTTTTTAATTTGCTAAAAACACTTTCGACTAATTCAAGATCCCGAACTCGAGACAATACAAGTGATTCTTAATCCGATTGATTGAATTAATTTGTGTTCTGTTCGCCTGCCACGATTGGGGGCATCCTGTGCGAACTTGGTAATTGGATTAGCACACAACACATAAACGAGTTAATTACGATAATTGTCGCGACGATACTAAACCGTGCCAAAGTCGTGTGCCCACTGAAATTAGCCTCAAAATCAAAAGAGTGTGCTCGTCGAGAGATCACCAGAATTCCCTTCGCCATCCCCCCAAAAACAAAAAAAATCGAATCCGAAACATATGTGTTGCTCCCCGAGATCGCCGAGATTCTAGCGATTCTGCGCCTAATTATAGCCAACCGATCTTCCATTGGCTGATGCTCTTCCTCACTCGACTTTCCCTCTCTTTCGAAATGCGTGGCCGACATCTTGGGGGCGTTTCCCGTTCGAGTGGCTGGAAAACTGCTTGAAATACGAGGTGAAAAGTATCAACAAGTTTTGAGCATTTAAGTAGCAATAAATACCAATTAGCCAGAGGGTTTGCTCTCCGGTTCACATCGTCCTGTCAACAGAGGACATGTGTCCTCATTCGGTGCTCCCGTTTCCCATTTCGCAGGATATGTTGCATCTGAAGCAGCAGTAGTTTCAACATCGGGCAACATCGGGGCATAAATCTTGGCACGCACACTGTTTGTCATCCTCCTGAGCTAATTTCCATAACCACAACATGTTGTTCATTTTCCCCGGCAAAGTGGAGCGATGGAAATCGGAAGGCTGGGCGGAACTGGTTAGTTAAGTGCATGTTTGTGGATCTCTGTCGCTCTGCAGCTGTGTTTGCCTCACCTCCGAAGGTGTTTCCATATTGTTTTACCATGTCCTCAATCAATATGTTTTACAAGTGAGGATATGGACGAACTGTCGATTGGAATCTGGATGAGTCGTATTAACAATGCCATTTCAAGCGGCTTTCTCCACCCAAAATATTAAAAAATACAAAATTTTTTTATATACGTTAATATATTTCTTAAAAGCTATTATCCACGCACAGCAAGTTAAAATTTTTTTTACTTTTCTTGTAATAAATATGATCTTAAGTTTTGCTTGAAAAATAACATCTGTAATACCATAAATTTCCATTTTCTGATTTCTTAGCTATAAAATAAAATATACAACAACTTCTTTTCCTTCTTCATTATTTAGATGCATTTTAAATGACTGGCTTGGTTTTTGGATTAATCATTAAAGAGTCGTGGAAATAAACTCACACAGTGTCCCTCTTTCACTTTCAGACTTGTTGACCAAACTTTCTGACTTAAATCCTCCGTTTTCCTGACTTTCGAGAATATGAGAACCCACTTCAAGGCTTTCCTCAGAGTTTGGACCCCCTGGAGAGGACTTCCGCTCATTAGTTGTCCCCTGCAAAGCTCACTATTAATATTCTAATATTCTGCTCTGTTGGCTAAAGAAGCAGCTTGGCCTGGGAATGCCGTACGTACGTATATTTTCCCTTCCAAATTGAGCTGTCACAAAAGTTTATCCAAACTACTTGACACTTCGCTGCCGGTTTTCGGCTACGCTTTTCCACCTGCAAAAAGAGCAGCTCGTCCGGCAGCTCGCTTCTAGTAAATTATCTCACGTTTTCCGTGTGCGAAAAGTTCCTGAGGAATGTTGCGGTGTGTATTTTTAATAAAACTTCAAAGTTTCCTACTTGCCACGCTTTACTATGTTCTCGCAAGCGTTTTTCTTCCCTAGCTCAATTTTCCTCCGTTTTCGCTTTCGGGTTTCCTCTGTTTTATTTTATTTTTTCTCCTATTTTATTTTTTAACTCTTGGAATTCTTTGTCACGAAACATTTCTCGCGTGCTGCTGCTGAAGATGTTGCTAGTGTTTTGTGGGTGTTATCCATGTAATATGGTTACCCAGACAAACTTTGGCCGGGGAAATTCTTCTGGCAAGTCAGAATTCGAGGAGACAGTTTTAATGCTGTCAGATAGCAGCAAAGTAAGTAAACTTGTCAGGTTCCTCGGAGGGGCTGGGTAAATTTCGGGAAAATATCGAATATTATGTGGAATTCAAAGGGGATAAATATGCGGAGGTAAAAGTCGATTACGATGTCAAAAGAATGCGTTGAATACGTAATGGCTGTTTGCAAAGTCAAGTTGTTGCTCATACACCCAAAAAGAACTTGATATTAAACGAAGATCAATTTGATATCATGGGGTATTAATTTTGACTTGATATGCGGCATCACAATTCGATATGCTTGAAATGTTATCAGGTCAGTTCGAATTTCGAATGTGTCTTTCTCTCTCCCACTCATGTCATGCGCCTAAAGCGCAATCCATGACAGATTTAAAACTCCTCCAATAAAAAGTTGACTGCCTATTTTAACCTTTACCTTTGTTCATAAATCTATAAACAATCGAGCTCCTTTCATTTGCAGGAAATCATCAATCCAAAGTCCCGGAACATGAGATGAGCAATACATCAATCCCTGACAGTCGCTAAACCAGTTTGACAGTTTTTCTAGTTTCCCGCACACATTTAACAATTTCAATTTCCTTTGAGCAACTCAAAAGCGGGGATTTGGCCAGGTTCCTTTGAAGTTCATGTTGTTTGTCAAGAAAATGAATTTCACTTGACGGCGATTATGTGGCAAGCATTTAAACGGTTTTCGTTCAATTTGCTGTCGCTGGCGCGTAGCTTTTCGCGAAAGTTTTGTAAAACATTTCCGGTGTTTCAGAATATTACCGAGTTCAAGCGGAACCGCAACAGAAGGACCTGCAACATAGGAGGAACCCATCGGGCGCCCCTCGTCTACTTCTAAGCCCAAAATGCCAAACACGAATGGCACACGCTCCCTGACAGCGGCAAAATCGCACCGAGGGGAGGGTGCAAAAGTTTTGCCTAAATCACTTAACAGAAAACAAGTGTTGGCATGTGCCCTCCGCCCCGCCGGACTTCCTGCCCCCTTTTGAAGGGGTCTTCTTCCCCTCTACACCGCCAAGCAGAAATATCGCAAAAGTTGCAATGAAAACTTTGGGCATACCCATTAGAAAGCAGGATACACCAGAATGGAACTGAATATCTAACTTGCAGTACTAGTACTGCAAGTCATTTTCAAGTTCTCCAAACATTTTTAAAGCAAAATTTAAGGAAAATGCATAAATTTCATTAAATCTTTAAAATTTTATAAAAAAAAAATTATATAAAAACTATACAGATAACATATAAAAGCTTTGATTTTCGTATTGAGTCCATTGAAATTCCGCTCTCTAAATATATTGTTGCATACTTTTAGACACCTTAATAATGGATTTCAAAACAACACTGATATGATACCATTACAAATTGTATAGGTAACGTTATTTTGTTTTATTTTGTTTTAAAGCTTAAATTTTGTGAAAAAAGCACTTTAAACTTGCCAAAACTATTCACTGGGTATTAAATATCCCTATCATGGCTTAGAGTTTTGGGCTTCCGACTTGTTGTTGGGTTATTCACGATGTGCAGGAATCAGGCATCACAACAAAGTTGACGGCAAATGAAATATAATAACAAGAAGTAACCGGAAGCATCAGGCTCGGCAACTTTTCTGCCACCGACCACGCCCACTTCCATCTGCTCCCGATTTTCGGGGCAGTGCGTAAACAGAAAATCAATTACACGGTGCATACATATATTGAGAGGAGGGTTGACAGGCGCCCTCTGGCGGCTTGCAGCTGTCAATGGAGTAGATCCAAAAACAAGTGAAGGGGTATGCAAATGGTAACGACAGTAGTAGTACCTTTTAGGTATAAAATATATAATTTCGGCCTTTCGTCTAATTTTGCTTTTAAAAAAAGTTTCTCAATATATTTTAGGAATATTTATTTATTTGCCTTGAGAAGTTTTAAGCCAACTCCTTTCCCTTTCTAAGTATTACATGTTTTCACCAGAAACATACCTCATAAGAAGTTGGTCCCAACCCAATTGCACTCGTTCTCTGCGAAAAGGGGTATGGTATAGGAAAGTAAAAGGAGGATTTACATTAATTACGGCACGCAAAAGCTTCTTGACTTTTATTGTGACATAGGCCTGGCAACTTACCCATCCCCTTTTCGCCGCCCCTTTCGTTTTCACATATAAAACGCATGAATATTTTATACTGCCCAGTAAACGGGACCAAGTGGGCGGCAGCAGTTTTAAAAGCCATGTTATAAGACTTTCGGGCTACTTTCACTTTGGGCCTCCTTTCTGCTCAGATGTCCATTTAGGCACACACACCAACATACAGATGTCGGAATTTTCGGGCTGGCCAACATCAATTTTTCAAAGCTTTGACCAAGGCAAAAATGTTGAGGCAGTTTCGATTTTTCCTTCTTGTTTGCCTCTTAAATGGTTTGCATAATTTATGCATTTTTTATGCCAAACATTTGAATTTTGCTGAGCCGCAACGAAGTCGAGTCTTGAGTACGAACTGGTCCATTTAATATTTATCCAGCTGAGATTGAAAGGGATTACAGTGCTGAATATGGACTGCCAATTGTTTTGGCCTCTACTAAACTCGGTTATTCTACAGTCCACACTCTAATGAATTTTAATTAATGTTTGTGCCAACACGATATGCCAGCCAAGCTGGCCAAAGGCCCCTGGGTCCAGATCGTATTTATTCACGGGAATTGGAATTTTTGATGCCATGTCGGCACGCAAGAGCATCAGCAACGGCATCAACAAATCCAACCGCAGAACACGACAAACACCACAAAATGTGGTTTTTCCCAACCTGATGGGGTCATCACAATCTCAGTCTCCTTCATTTAGGATTTTCGGTGTACAGCGATTTTATGAAAATGTATCTTATTTTTGAATAGAGCAAAACGCAGTGCTTAAACATGGGATAATCTTCATTATAGTTGCAATTTATTTAAATCGAGTTTTCAGAGCCTCCAAATACAGAATCATATTTAATTATGTTAACATTAATAAATATTTGTGTAAAGTTAAGTTAACAGACTTTTTTTTTGTATTTATTTATGAGAATTTAAATTAAATTACAAAAATTCTCAAAATCTTCAAAAATATTATAATCGACATTGTTATTTTTACTTATTTTTTTTATTTACCATTTCTGCTACCATAGTAGTAGTTATCAAATGCGAAAAAAATGTATGTTAATCCAACTTAATGAAAGAAAAAATCTCGTCCATAAACATAATTAAATTTTTGTAATCAATTACTTTTCTAGACATACTTTCGCAGCTCCCAACAGAGTCATTGCCAAGAAAGAAAGAGGTTCTCTCAGCTAACGAGTTTCCAATTTTCAATGAAGATGCGCATTGGCCCAATCACTTTCCCTTTTTCTGTTTTCAATTTCCATTCCATTTCTTTTGCAAAGGCCGGCTCCTCCGCCCCATTTTCCGCGATAGGGCCTCGGAAGCTCTAATTGCATCTGATTGCAGTGACAGTTTTTCCTACCGACTGACAGATACAGCGGCAACAAAGAGGAGGAGGTGGCGAGGGAGCTATGGTATGCATCTGAGGAGTGAGTACCGAGTACTGAGTATCCGTACATCCGTTCCGTATCCGTTGATTTTCAATCCGCGTTATTTCTTCCTTGACTGTTTGCTTCGCAGTTCCTTCTGCTCACTCGCTGCACTGTTCATCCGGAGACAATCGTGAGCGAAATTTAAATGCCGCTGACTTTGCAGCTCACTGAATGACAACTATACAGAAACACGAAAAAAATAATGAAAAAAACAACAAGCGCAGCGAAAAATGTCCATTGAAAATGCTCAATCAACAAATTGGAATTTCTCTCAAACCTATTGTTTAAGGCGATTTTTCAGAAATAATACACAAGTTTAATATCAAAGTTTATTCGATTTCATTTATTTTTTATGTGCAAGAGCAAACTTTTTCTGAAAATGTTGTATCTTACGTTATTTTGTTCATTTCATAAAATTAATCTAAATTATTGTAGATCAAGGCTTTAAGATATCTATAAAGATATTCCGTAACTTTAACTCTAATGTTTTTAGAATGCTACATTTAAAAATTATTTATTTAAAATAAAGTATTTTTTTTCATTTTGTTTTTTAAGAAAAAATCTTAAAATCTGAACTATTTGGGTTAAAAATTCCACATTTCGACCTTAACTCATCTTATTTCTGCCTGTCCCGTCAATCTACTCGAACTGCACACTCCAGATCTGCATTACATTTCAGTCGCATTAATAAAGCGCCATCTCCAGCGTAAAGGCAGACATCATTATTTTAAAAATTGCAGTCGTTGCATAACAATGAGGACGTATTATCCATATGCCATACGCCATATGCCAACCAGTCGTTGGTCCAGGCCAAAAATTAATGAGTGGGCGTGAGCAATTGTTGCACGCTCGCCCATTTCGACTGCTTTAAGTTTCGACGCTGTGCCAGAGAGATAAATCAAGTGGAAAACTTTTTCACCCGGCAATCCCGGGGAATATTTCATGCCAAGATTCTGCGGCCAAAATCCAAATGGCGACGGATTAGGCCAGGTCGGGATGAAATACCGTCCTGGGGCGTGAGCAGATTTTCGCCACGAGCTTTATGTGCCATGGCATACATATAAAAAGGTGTTGCTTCGCCTGTCTCTTTCTTTTTATGTCCCTCTCTAAGCACACACTAACACACATGTGCAATTCGGGTGGCAGGTGTGTGTGTACATTAAAGGCCATAAAAAATTCATAAAATGCATTTCTCGCAAGCCAAAAACCAAACACACAATATACCAAAGCATCCAACATGCAAAGTACACACAACATACAAAAACATAAATTTAAAAGCACGTTAGGGGTACTTACGTGTGGACCGTATACCAGTTCTAAATAGAACTTTATGCCATATTATAAACTAACCTCAAAGCATACTTAAAACACTCGAGAAAACTTTATGTTATCCATGCCATCCCTTGGGTTTTATTGGTTCCTATTTAGGACCCTTTCTTCATAGCGGAACCTCCCTCACGTAAACCGTTGCGGAAACGACGGCGCAACTTCTTCAGATACCGCATCCTTCCAGTTCCCTGGGCCTTGCGACCCTTGGCCTTTCGGGACCAGTTGAACGAGCGAGATTTGGCCGAGGGATAGCCGCACTGGGAGCACTTCGATTTCTGGAGGTGATACGACGAATTCCCGCAGCGGCGACAGATTGTGTGCGTCTTGTTGTGGCGCTTGCCAAAGCTTGTGGTTCCCTTGGTCATCTTGCTTCAGTAGATTTATCCAAAAATAAACTTAGTTAACTCCTTGTCGTCGGAACGTCTGCTGCTGAGAAGAATGACAAGCGGAAAGAAAGTTCTTGGAGATGATAGTTTAATAATTCGATTTTTTTTATCGATGAGTATTTAGGGGTTACGATACCTATAGTTATTGCTTAAATATAATTTACAACACTAATTTAACTATGCCAACAGATGGCTCCACAACAGATAGACGCTAACAACCTAAGAAAAAGTATAATTTGACTAATTTTCGGATTATTACTTGCGGAAAATGGTCAAAAATAAAAAAATTTCGGTTTAAATATCCTTTATTTGCCACTAAAAAAATGATTTTTTATAGTTCTAACCTCAAAATTGAGGTTGCTAAAGTTGTTAAAGTTCTAGTTAATTATAAATTTAAAGGAAATTGATTCCTAATTTTTTCATAAACGTTTATGAAACCGTTATTAATATTTAGCATTGGATGAAACTGTTTACCTTTTATTATTGATATTAAATATGCATTTTCCCTTATTTTTCTTCATATTTTGGGATACAACCGTCTAATATTTAACCCAGATATCAAACTTTCAGTTGATACTTCTCAGATTGCATTTACCTTGGCTAACTTAATCTTTGGCAAACCGAAATGCCACTATCACGTGCGTGACATTTGCCAATTGCTGCGAAATTGCGCGAAAATTATATCAATCTCGTGGCGTAATCATTGAAAACTTATCAATTTTCCCCATCCGCAGCCAGACGATTCCGCTCAGACGGAGTTGGCAATCGCAGGGACCTTGGAAAAATGAACGAAAATCAAATATTTATGATATGTTTGAGCAACATTTTGCTGCCGCTGTTGCCGACGGCAAAAGTAAACTACAAAATTTTTCCCTTTTCGGCTGCATTTTCGTTTGCCTTGGCATTTGGATTTATGTGCGTGGCGTTTGAAAATTCAATTTAATTCTCATTTTTGTTGGGCCATCGCGGCCGCTGCTGTGGGAAATCCTATGAATTTTTGAGGCACTCTGGGTGAAGCCTTCGCCGTTTTGCTCCTTTGCATATCGAGTAAGTTATGGTTCGGCGGGAATTGTGTTAGCTGAGGCGAGATACTGATTTCTCTGGGTCCTCATAAAGTATTTTTCTTGTTGCTGCACACTAGATTAGAAAATTTTGAAAGAATTATATAAAATATCTAGCAAAACCAAATAACTGTGACCTGTATCAGTTCGACTATCGCCTTTTACTGCTACTTTTATTGGGCACAACGTTTTTTTTTTTTTTTATGACACTATTTGTCTTTTTTCCACATTTTTTTACTTAATAAGGTAATAAGAATTTTAAAGTTTAGGAAAAACAGCTAAAAACAAAATGTTTACGAAAACTAGTTCTAAACTTTGAAGAACGTCAATCTTTCTGTGGAACTGAGGTGCCTTTCTCAGTTATTTGCAGTATCTTGGACCAACTTCGTGCCAAATGGAGAGGTTCAGAGCCCTCAACTCGGCGTCATACATCTCAGTTTCCCTTCGAATAAGTTCGATCATCTGAAAACGTCTCACTCTTTTCAGCACCTTCTGCATACATCTAAGTTCCTGAGTAATCGGCGCTATAACCGAGTCGATTGGACCACCTTTTCCGCCACATTGACACTCGAGCTTTGATGCCAGTCTAGAAAACCGAAATTAAAAATATTCGGTATTTTTATTTAGCCTTGGAGAACTTACATGTGCGACATAATTGTTTTGGGTTTGAAGTTAGGTTTGTTATGATAGTTTTTTCAATGCCAACTGGAGCTCTATCCTATTCAATAATATAATTATCCTATTTACATAAGTTTCAAGGATCTAAAAACTAAAACGATTACCCAGTTCTTAAGTAAATTGGAAATATTATTGTCCTAATGAGATGCGTAAATTTTTAAGCCCAGTGACGTACTTATAAATAAACTTCTGTGTGATTCCTCGACAGACGATAAGCCCCTGTTGATGTTAAAAAATATTGCATTGTTAGCCTAACCAAGCCGATCCAAGTGCCGGATTGTGTGTCTGTGTCCCAGGATAACGACGAGAAGGAGGAGGAGTCGCAGCTCGGTGGCAATGGCAATGCATTATGCTAAAATGTCTCCGGTTCCATCCGTTCGATTGTCTGCCTGCCAGTCTGTCTGTCTGCTCCTCCGATTCCAATACCAATAGCAATTCCTTTCCCGATTCCGACTCCGATTCTCCGGATGCTGGTAGTGCAATGTCGTGGCCTGTTGTTGGATGTCGGTGCGGGATTAAATTGCGACTTATGCTAAGCGAACTGATGGCGAGGGGCAAATTGAATGGAAGCTCGTTTATATTGCTCGAATTGCGGCAAAGTATTGCTGCTGTCGCTGGATTTGTCACTGTCGCCGGGCTCTCAGCCTCCCAGCTTGCCGTCTTCCCAGCAAGAAGACAGGACCAAGTTTATAAATGCCTGGCAATTGGCACTACAAAGAAATCCCGGCCAGGCAATTTCCATTACCAACTGGCAGTGCATGAAACGGCCATTATCGCTTTTCTACGGCCCAATTACATATGCCTTTGGCACTCGGTAGTTTATTGATGGTCTAAACATCTCCTCAGTTGGATGAAAAATGAGTCATCACTATCATCTTTTTTTTCAACGCGCTGAAACAGTTTTATGAAAACTATAATAGCATTTCTTTATTTTGTTTTTAAAATATTCTTAAAATTATGTTCGATTTTGCTGCAGTTCCCATTGAACTAAAAGAATGGAATGAGTGATAATTGAGTTCAGCATGGCCATTAATCGATTTCGTTCCACTTTAAAGAGTCCCAGGACATAGAACTCATAGGGATCACGGACCAATTGCAGCTGGAAGTTCTCAAACTGTAAAGTACAATTATTAGATAAATAAATTTAAAAAAAAGTATTCCAAACTTACGGCTGTCTCCAGTCGTTCATCTAATTCTTGGCTGAACAGAGTGCGATCCGCTAATATTCGAATAATCTCATCTTGCTTATCGCGAGCCCGAAATCCAATATTAATAGATATCCAATTATCCGCATAGAAGAATGTCGTGGACAAGGCAATCATCAAGAGTCCCCAATATGTCGAACCGAATCCAGTGGTGTTGTACAAAATCGAGCAGAAGGTAAAGTAAATAGAGCCCATGGTGGAGAGATAATAGACCAGGCTCATGCTAAAGCTCTGTATTTGAAAAAGCTGCGACATTTCGTCAAGTGCATCCTGCAGGGTGGAATGTCTTTCAGCCAAACAATCCAGTTGATCTGCCAAGGAGCAACATTTTATGGAGAAAACTCCTCCTCGCCGATTGCGAATTGAGCATATGGTTTCAGCTTCACGAATCAAATTCCTCAGATCTTGGAGCAGAATATTATAGAGCCCAAGTATTTGGAGTACGGCCAAATAATACTGAACAACGATCATGTTGAATATGGTGGTAAATATGGTCCAGATAATTAGATTTATGGCTAGATCAAAATTTAAAACTTTTCGCTGAGCACTTAGATCCAAAATTGTGTGGAGAGAGTCGGATAGAACGACAACTACAAATTTTAGGATTATGCTGCGACGGTACTCATGAACCACGTGCGGTCTTTCCCGAATCATTCGAACTAGTTTATTCCAAAGTCTTAGGATCCTGCAACGCTGGAACCATCTGGTGATCAGAGAGATCATCACTGCAAAGTGTCGAACCAGCGTCATTAGCAGAAAAAAGTACTCATGGAGATATCGAGCATTGATTAATTCCGAAAAAGTCGACTTATCGCTGAGACTGCGCAAACATATCAGAGTCATCAGGGTAAAATTGTGTAGCGCCGCATAAATTGTGACTCGTCGAGAGGCCGAAGCCTTTCCCGTTCGCCAATCCACCTCAAAGTTGAATACTCCCACCACGAGACCATAGCAATATGCCAAGCGCAGAATCGCCCTCACGGAGTCAAACATGTTTCACTACTAAACTCGACTATTGGTAAGTGCAAACTGAGCGATGAACTCCTAGGCAATTCAATCAATATAATAAGGCCTATGGGAAAAGCTAATTAGTCGGTGATGGATTGCATTGAAAAAAGTAGACGAGCGACTACCCCGACTATTAGATACCCGCTACTCAACTGTTTTTGTTAAATATTAAATAGAACTTTGCTTATGGGAAAAGCTAATGTGTCACCGATTAATCGCATAAAAATAGGGATTTGCATAAGCTTTTAATTTCAATTTTAGTATCTTTAGTATAAATTTTAGTATCTATTACGCAGATACGTATTACCAAATGATGATTTTATTTGTATTTTCATTTAAACTAGTACAAAATTTAAGCCAGCATTGAATTTATTTAATAGTTTTAAAAATATTCAATATCATATTGGATTAAAATTATTACGTGGATTAAAAAAGAGTTAAGAAACGAAAATGATGCAAATCTATCCACTTTAAATAAGCCAAGAATTCGAAACTCCAACGGATTTCGGACCAGGTTTAGTGTGAAGCTGTCTATCTGAAAGAAAATATAAAAGCATTACAAATGATTCTCATATTAGAGACTTTTCGACTCACCACTGCCTCTAATCTTTCATCCAAACCTGGTTGGAGAAGAATCCTTTCACTTAGCAGTTGGACCATCTCTTCATGGGCGTCCAGCAGGTAAAATACATGGAACAAGTTTACACAGCAATCGACGAAGTAAAAAACTGTTAAAGTCGTTAGGGCTACTACACCAATGTTAAGACAAGCATTTGTGAGTCCGCTGATTTTAATAAAGCTGAATAATATATAAAAGTTCCCCAAGAAGTTTAAGTAGTAGACGATGACCAAGAACACGACCGGACCGTTGTAGGCTCTTAAAAGCCATTCGATGAGCCCTTGCAATTCAGATTGGGAGTTCGCTAATTGCTCTAGGCGATCTGCGAGGCTGCAACATGTGGTCACAAATACTCCCCTTCGGTTGGGATTGAGTGAGTGAGTTTCGGCTAAAACCGCTTTTAAATCCTTGTTCAGAAGGATATATCGCCCTCGAATAATTTCCAAGGCAATAAAGTACTGCGAAGTTATCCCATTTAATATAGCTCTTAAGCAAAATATGGCCCAAATCCTTATACACAGGGTAATGGTCAGCTGATTTCGTAGTATATAAATGGAAAATATAACTTGCAATATCTCCGCCAACTTAATACAGAAACACTTCGAAACGATGATTTTTTGGTAACACCATTGGTTCATCTCAGGATTCTCTTGATAGAGTCGGCGAAACAAGTTGTAGAGTCGTATGAAGGTCCTACGTTGGGTCCAACGACTGACCAAAGTCAGGAGATCACAAATAGCCTGGGAGTATTCCAAGACCACGTATACGTTTTTACGAAGACCACTTGCATGGTCCAACAAAATGGTCAAAATATCTACAGTTAAAAGATTGTAAATCATTGAGATAAAGATGAGAGTGTGTAAACATGCTGCACATATTGTTGCTCTACTGGTAACTTTAATTCGATATGTTTTAAAATCGACCTCAAAGTTAAAAAGCCCGGTAGCGCGCCCGAACAAATATGAAGTGTACAAGCACCATTTGAGTAGTTTATCCATTGCGGTATACTGAACAATTGCTCGAGTGGCAAGTCGGTTCGCTGACTCTGAAGTTACGACATTGGTGACTGATTGTTAGGGATGATATCTTTTCATCTGCAATCACTCAAAATATTGGTGTTATGAAAACCCCAACTCTTCAAAACATGTTTTTCTTCATATTGATACGCATCTTGATTTTAAACTAATTTAATTTTTAAGTGCATTGCGAATTGCTCCACTACGCGCATTCACCTATTAATTTTAGTTCTTCATTTAGTACATAAAATTTAAATTTGTTAGCACCAATTCTTTAAGTGCACAAGCCTAGCAGTATTTTGTTAATTAAAAATATTTATTTCAGTTCCCACTGAACAAGTAGAATAGAACTCATAATGGCTGAGTTTATCATTCCAATAATTCGATCGCGTTCCACTTTAAAAAGTCCGCATATATTGTACTCAATCGGATTGCAGGCCAACTGAAGCTTATAGTTCTCAAACTGCGTAAAAACATATATTATATAGGAAAAATTGAATAATAATGATAACTTACTACTGTTTCCAGTCGTGGATCCAATTCCTGACTGAATAAAGTGCGCTCTGACAGTTTTTCATTAATTTCCCTAACCTGATCCTGTATTAGAAATCCCAAATTGGGGGAGATGGAATTATCCGCTATGAGGAATGCTATGGATAGAGCAATCAGCAGGAAGCCCCATAATGAAGAGTCAAATCCCGTGTTGTTGTACCAAATCGAACAGAATGTGAAGTAAATAGTACCCATGGCGGAGAGGTAGTAAACCATGCTCATGCTAAGGCTTTGTATTTTAAAAAGTTCCGTCATTTCGTCCACTATGGCTCTCAAGTTATAGTGCCTTTCGGCCAAAATATCCAGTTGATCGGCCAAGAAACAACATTTTGTGGCGAAAACTCCTCCTCGACGATTACGAATTAGGCACACGCTTTCAGTTTCCTTTATCAACTTTTCAAGATCGCTCTTAATTAATTCGAAGAGTCCAAGAACTTGCAATTCAGCCAGATAATACAGGCCCACCCCTATATTGAAAATGGTGTTTTTTGTGTACAACACAACTATGTTTAGGACCAGGGATAAGTTAAGCTTTTTCCGCTGAGCACTTAGATCTAAGATCGTGTGCATAACATCAGCTAGAAAAGCAAATATAAATTTTAGTATTATCCTGCGGCGATATAGGTAAAATACATTGGGTCTCTCGCTAACCATCCGAAGCAATTGATTCCAGAATCTGATGATCCGAGAACGGTGTCGCCATCTACTGGTCAAAATGAGCGCCACAGCCAAATGTCGCACCACCGCGGTTAGAAGAAAGAAATACTCGTGCAGAAATCGAGCGTTGGTTAGGGTAAGTCGTTCAGTCTTAACACCCAGACAGAGCACGAGTGTAAGGATTAATAGACCTATATTGTGGGCAACGGCAAAAATCGTAGCCCGTCGAGTGGTGACAGCTCTTCCCGTTTGTCTATCCACCTCGAAGTTAAGCAATCCCATTACTCGACTATGCCAATATCCACAACGTAGTAGTGTCTGCACCGGGTCAACCATGTTTTAGCACTGAACTTGGTTTCAAACTATTTAGTGAATGTGGCCTATGGGAAAACCTAATGAGCCAGCGATGAATCGCATTAAAAATAGAGACTTTCATACTACTATCAAAAAGATGGTCATTAAAAATTATAAGTACATAGTCATAGTCCAAAGTCAGATATAATATACAACTATACACTCATAGAAATTTTTACCCTAAATCGCCCTAAAAAACTGACTTTTCGCCCGTGGATTTAGAAAATCGCCCATAAATCGTATCCGCTGGCGATTCGCCCGTGTATTTAGAAAAATTTTCTAAAAAATCCCGATGGAAATTTGGTTTAATTTAGGGTGATTTTTCTTGAAATAAGAAATATTTTCCTGTTTTTAGGGTAATTTGCCCTAATTTTAAGGTGTATTTTTCTAAAATTAAGGGCGAATTTTCTGTTTTTATAGGCGAATGCCCTAAAAAATTAGACAAGTTAAAAAAAATCGTGTTTGAGCATGCTTAACTGAATTTGGGAAGCATGTTTTTTTTTTAATCGTCTATATTCTGGGAGCTGGGACTGCTTTAATTAAACAACACCGGCGGAGGACACCGTTGCATATTATTGTATTGGTGTGTAGCTTATATGGTAGCTTAAAAGGGGGGCCCGATCTATACAGCACAGCCGTTAGAACTGAAAAATCATGTTTGTAAATGAATTAGGGAAATAAATATGAGGAGAAAAAACAACTTACTTTTTTTGGTCATTGCGAGAATCGAACCCACGACCTCTCGGTTTAGAGTCTAACGTCTTACCGCTGCACCACAGACCCCTCGCGCAAGACGACGAACAAACTCTGCACACATCTTATTTTCTTGAGGTCTACGTTATAATATGACTAAAGGCAACTAAACCGTATATTTTTTTTCCTGACGACTGTGACAATTAGTCCCGTTTTCTTGCCCGCAAACACAAAGTATGCTTTTAACTCAGAACTCCCATACGTTTTTAAGGTTTAAAGACTACTTTAATTTAAAATCGGACGAAAAAATGTCCTCAGTATTATAATGTTTACAAAAAAAAAAAAAAAACATAAAAATCAAGTTGAATCACACAGGGTTCGAACCCACAACCCCACGACCTTAGTCCTCATATAGCAAAGTTGAAAGCGCAAGTGATTAGACCGCTGGGCTACCGAATTTCACACTTTTGGAGTGATTTTTAAGGCAAATCGCCCTTGTATTTAGAAAAATTTTAGAAAAAAAATTAGGGCAATTCGCCGTTGGATTTAGAAAAGGTCAAAACGAAGCAAATCGAAAAAAATCGCCCTAAATATTAGAAAAATAGAAAAATTAACCCTAAAAATATTTTTTTATGGTCACCTGCCTTAAATTTATGGCAAATTTGTCGTAAAAATAGAAAATTTTTCTCAGTTCAAAGGCGAAAAATTTTTTAGGGCGATTTTCTAAAATGTAGAAAATTATTTTTATGAGTGTATATCATATGCTTTATTTGTATTTTCGTTAAAGATAATCCACAACAATTCAAAACATTTAATTTTAATGCATTTTAATTTTGGTATACCGACAAATTTATAATTTAGAGTTTTACACTTATTAAATGTGAAAATATAATTCAAGCAGAATTTAATAGTATTAAAAATATTCAATATCAAATTGGATTAAAATTATTACGTGGGATAAAAAGGAGTTAAGCAAGGAAAATGTTGCAAATCTGTCAACTTTAAATAAGCCAAGAAATCTAAATTCTAACGGATTTCGAACCAGGTTCAGGGTGAAGCTATCTATCTGAAAGAAAATGTATAGGCGTTACAAATGAATATAATATTAGAGATTATTCGACTCACAACTGCTTCCAATCGTTGATCCAAACCTAATTGGAGAAGAGTCCGTTGGCTTAGCAGTTGGACCATGTCTTCGTAAGCGTCCATTAGGTAAAGTACATGGAACAAGTTTACCCAGCAGTCAACGAAGTAAAAAGCTGTGAAAGCCGTTAAGGCCACTACTCCAAAGTTAAGGTATGCATTTGTCCAACCGCTGATTTTAATAAAGCTAAACATTAGGTAAAAATTTCCCAACAAGTTCAAGTAGTAAATAATGACCATGCACACGATTACACCTTGGTACGTTTTTAAAAGCCATTCGGTGAGCACTTGCAACTCAGATTGGGCTTTGGCTAATTGCTCTAAGCGATCGGCAAGGCTGCAACAAGTGGTCACAAATACTCCCCTTCGGTTGGGATTGAGTGAGTGAGTTTCGACTAGAAGCGCTTTCAAATCATCATTCAGAATGAAGTATCGCCCTCGAATAATCGCCACGGCAACAAAGTACTGCGAAGTGATCCCATTTACCATGACCGTTAGGCTAATTATGGCCCAAATCCTCATAAACAGGTGAATGGTCATTTGATGTCGTAGAATGTAAATGACAAATATTACGTTTACGATCTCCGCCATTTTCATTAAGAAACATTTCGTGACAATTCTTTTTTGACAATACAAGGCCATCTTAGGATGTCGTTGATAAAGTCGGTGAAACGACTTGTAGAGTCGTATAAAGGTCGTGCGCTGGGTCCAACGACTGACCAAAGCCAGGACACCACAAATGATCCGACAGTATTCTACTACCACGTATACGTTTTTACGAAGACCACTGGAATGGGCCAAGACAATGGTCAAAAAGTCTACATTTATAAGACTGTAAGTCATTGTGATAAAGATGAGTGTGTGCAAGATTGCTGCACATATTGTAGCTCTTCTAGTAACTTTTGCCCGACCCGTTTTTAAATCGACCTCAAAGTTCAAAAGTCCGGTAGCGCGCCCGGAAAAATATGATATGTACAGACACCATTTGAGTAGGTTAGCCATTGCAGTATACTGAACGATTGCTCGGGTAAAAAGCCAATTCGCTGACTCTCAAGTTATGACATTTGCGACTGATTATTTCCATTTAAGTATAATATCTATTCATCTCCAATTATTCTAAATATTGGCATTATCATGACACCCAATACTTCAAGGCATGACATACTTGATGTTGCCAAACATCTTGATTTTAGACTAATTTAATTTAAAAGAAGAGTTGCTATAGGCAGTAAAAGCTCTGACAAGGATAAATTGTACATCTCCACCGAATTTGTCGAAAGTAATATTGTATTTTATTGAAAAATGGGATTTGCAATTTATCAATTTTTTAGTTTAGTTCAGTTTTTAAGTATAACAATATAATCTTTTTTATTTATGTTATTTTCTTTATGAATTTTCAACATCATATTGAATTAGGATGACACCAAACTTTTCAAGGTGTGACGACCCATTGCAGTATTCTGAACAATTGCTCGAGTGGAATTGGAAAAGTGGCTGACTCTGAAGTTATGACATTTGTGATGAATTATTTCATTACTAGAATGATATCCTTTCATCTGCAATCACTTAAAATATTGGCATTACAATGAATTTAAAACTGTCCAAGGCATGACACCTAGGATATTGCTATACCTCTTGATTTTCAACTAATTTACATAAAATGTTTTTTGTGGTATTGCAAAATTGCAATAGAGCGAATTAAACCAATCCCCCCTTCCCATGATCATTTTCATAAGTAGGGGAGAGTGGGGGAATTTCGTCAGCATTTTTTCAAAGCTATTTTTTGTCCATCTTGAGACACGTTATCATATTTTTATTTTTATTGTTGAATGCGGTTAGCACTAAGCTTTAAAATGTGACATTCCCCAATTTTTTTAATTACCTTGGTGATTTATAAAAAATTAAAAAGTAAAACCAATATACTGGGGCAATCTCACCACATGGGGGGGTAAAATCGCCACACAACTGGGGAAATTTCGTCACCTGAAAAATGTAGGGAACTTTACGCCTGTAAGTATGCTACACTGATCAAGCGTACCATTTTTGTTGACGTCCTATATTTGTTGCTGCTGCCGGTAGTCTGTTCGTTAGCCAGCTCGTCAAATAAAATAAAAATGTATTTAAAATAGGTGCGAATTTACCCTTAGCGTAGGGTGGCGAAATTTCCCCAGACAGTACTTTTTTAGAAATAATTATTTTTCTTCCGAAATTAGGCGCGAAGTTAAAAATCACTAACGCAGAAATGCACATTATAACACTGTGTATTATATAAAAAATCGTGTATCTTATTCCTTTTGAAATGTGGCATACAGAAAAAATTTCGTCGAGAACTAAATGTAGCTTTTGAACTGTTAAAACACATTTAATATTATAGCTTAATTATCTTGGCCTTCTGCGCAAAACAAATGCATTGGTTGTTTCTGGCCGTCTTGAAGGACTAAAACAAAAAAATTATATATTTTTACGACTTATCGATTCCGAGATATTGCAGGTGGCGAAATTGCCCCTGTGACGAAATTCCCCCACTCTCCCCTAATTATACAAATAATTTTTAAATATAACATTTTTCTAGAGAATTTTTTTATTTTGCAATTAAAAATCTTTGCGGTAAAAAATAATTATTCGTTGTGGATATCAATTTCGAATTTTCTTTATGAATGTTCGATATCATATTGTATTAGGACAAGTATGTGAGCTAAAACGCAGTTGAGAAATGCAAAAGTTGTAAATCGGTTAATATTAAATAGGCCAAGGAATTTCAGCTTGAAAGGGTTTCGGGCCAGGTTCATAGTGAAGCTGTCGAACTGGGAAAATATAAAATAGAAAAATATGAATATAAATATTGGATTTTAGTTT